GAGTCATACGAATCGACTTTTTTGAACCAGTTACTAGAAACGTAGGATCACGTAGGATGTACGGAGTCCATTTCACGTAGGGTCTCGTACATTTGCACCGAAACTTGCTTCCTCGAGTTGAGTGCCTTGACCGCAACAGACGAATTCTGAACATTGTCTCAACGAGTCACCAACATGCCTGGTAAGACAATGGTGTTGTGTATTTGATGGAAGCTGTAGTCACAAGGATGGATGTAGTGGGAATGATGATTCGACAACATTGATGAACTGGAATTTGTTTCAGTGGTGTCGATCATCCTAGTCTCTCTGTGGCGGAAATTATGTCTCTTGTAGCGCCGGAATCTGTCTCTCAACGATATCCTTTTTCTTCTTTGTCTCCATTAGTCTCCCTGAAACTCCAAAAGCGCCTTGCGGCCGACGTCTTGAAGTGCGGAAAGCGCAAGATCTGGCTCGACCCCAATGAAATCCAAGAAATCGCTCTTGCCAATTCCAGACGCAACATTGCCCGTCTTCACCGTGATGGTTTGATCATCAAGAAGCCCGCAGTTGTCCACTCCCGCGCTCGCGTCACATTGAGAAATGAAGCCAAGCGAAAGGGTCGTCACACTGGTAAGTTTAAGTGTTGTTTTGGAGCATGAATGGAGCCCCCTTGTCTGGCCAGTGTTTCTTGCGAAAGGAACGTTGTGTAGATGGTGAACCTGCATATTTTCTGCATCCACTTCATCCTTTTCCAGTCAGAGGGGCAGAGTATGTGAATCGCAAGGTTCAATCGGCCAGACAACCGGTAGTCCATTTCCACGCATGGCTCTTTCCCAATCAATTGGGCTGTGTACTATTTATCACGTGACAACATATCTCATTTTTACTCTTAATTTGAATACAGGTATTGGTAAGCGTCGTGGTACCGCCAACGCTCGTCTTCCACTCAAGGTCTTGTGGATGCGCCGCACCCGTGTCCTTCGTCGTTTGTTGCGAAAGATGAGAGATGCCAAGAAGATTGACAAGCACATTTACCACTCTCTTTACATGCTCTCCAAGGGTAACCAATTCAAGAACAAGACTGTTCTTCTAGAGAAGATCCACGAACTCAAGGGACTCGTTGTTAAGGAGAAGGCTCTTTCCGAACAAGCAGATGCCCGTAAGGGACGTGCCCAGGCTCGTCTTGAGCGAAGAGCTGCACGAGAGGCCAAGAAGGCTGCCGATGCTGAAGCCGCTGCCTCATCTTAAGCAACTAATCTAGAAAAAATGAAATTGAGTATATCGAGTGGAATTCTATAGGCATACAAATGAATCACTATTATGGTGTTGTATGATTGATTCAGGAATGGTGATGTTGTCCCATATTGAATACTCATTAAATCATTTAGTACTGTAGGTGTGGCGCTGCTCTCCCATTCAACACGTACAAATGACAGGCGAATTGCCACATCAAAAGCAATATAATAACACAAACGACAAAACTGAAAACGGGTTGAGCAACCTTTGCTCACCACTCGAATAGCAACAGCACAATATGTCTGCGCCACCACCGCCAATGGGAGCCCCTCCTCCACCACCAATGGGGGGCCCACCACCACCCATGGGAGCTCCACCGGTCGGTTTGCCTCCACCAGGCGCCACCGGAATGCCGCTACTGCCAATGGGTGGAGGAGCCCCTCGGACTCCCTTTACACCCAATGTCCTCATTACCAATGTCCCTGCCTTTTTGCATTCCTTCAAATCGATTCGCGAATGGTTGTATCCTTGTGGTTCAGCACGAACAGCGGTATTTTATCCAAAGCAAAACGAAGATGAAGAATTACCAGCGTCTGCGAAATTTGCAGTGCTAGTTACCATGTCGCACCCGGATGGAGCTGTGAAACTATTGGGAAGTTTCAAGCGTTTCGCCTCTCGGTTAGATGAGCGCTACAATCAAATACAAGCCTACATGGTTCCAGCATCACCTGATATTCCGCTACCACCTCCACTATTGGACGAAGAAACACAAGAAGTGTTGGGGAAAAAGCTATGGGACTACTTTGTAGGATTGGAGAATCCCGATATGGCTGGCTCGGACAATATTCCAAAATTGGACGTCGACAAAGTGGCAGCCGCCGCTGGTGGGGGTAATTACGATGCCGATGAAGATCCGCTGAATGCTCCCCAAGTATTGGAGGCAGTTAAGGCCTTTCGGCGAAAGCTGGACAAGACACACTCGCATCAGAAAAAGAAGAGAATGGAAATGGTTGCCCAAAAATTGAAGGACATGAGACCGGCCATCAAGAGAATGATGGAAGAAGAAAAGAACCGACCCGCAAATGTCCTGCCTCCACCGCTACCACTCCCTCTCCCACCAGGCGCACCTGGGGCTCCACCACTTCCCGTTGGAGTACCTCCATTGCCTCCACCACCGGGAGGAGCCAGCAATTTGCCACCACCGCCACCACTAGGCGTGGAAGATTCGGGCAAACGAGGTCGATCCAATTTGCCAGCCTGGATGACAAAACAACAACAAGAACAACAACAGGCCGACGAACCAGCGGCGAAACGAATCAAGAAGGAAGAAGGCCACCCCTCAAATTTCCCACCATTACCACTATCCGCCTATCCCCAACTGCGAGAATATCTATCGAAACAAGTGGTTGAGAGTCTAGGCGAAGAAGACCCTACATTGATTGACTTTTTGTACAATCACATTACTCAAACCAAGGCAGCATCCGAGTTGCTACAAGAGTTGCAAATGGTGTTGGAAGAAGAAGCGCCTGCTTTCCTAGAAGCTCTTTGGAAGAAGATTGGGGAGTTACAACAGCAATCATAAACTAGTCTAGAGTAATCCACAATACTTTATGTAGGCAGTACATATTCTGGACGTTCTTCTGGTCGACCAAATTCTGCTTGCCCGCTTTTCGCTGCTAGCGCTGTTTAAGCGAAATCTCTTGTTGATTCAACGGACTAAACCAATTGGTCATTCAAACGCGGCCGGCGCATTCGGACACCCCCAGTTTCAGTTCCGTAAGCTTTCTACCAAACGAAATTTTTCTGAATCTTCTCGCGAGCTTCAGGAGGAAGGAAGGAAGAGCGAATCAACATCCAACCTGAAGCACCATCTTGTGTGTGTGTGTGTTGCGCAGCAAAAAGAATCGGTTGAGAAGTACCCAATAGCAATCAAAGGCTTGTCGACTTCTCCCAGCTGTCAAATTTTCCATCTTTTCGATAGAATTTTTCTCACAAAGATAGTTTTAAGGGTTCGCTAGGCTGACTCGGAAATCCCATTGCTATCATGGGATGTACTGGTTCCAAACCGGTGGACGCAATAGATCCGGATAGTGGTGAAAAAAAGGTTGATCCAGCAACCGTTACGAATGGAAATGGTGGATTAATGGGAGATATGGCACCCACAACAGCTCCCAGTGTTAACGGATCCATCAAAGTTGCACAACCTTCACCAGATATTCCCCCACCTCCTCCGGGAAGCGATGATGTTCACTGGAATAGACTATGGGACTCTCACCGCACTTTTCTATTAGATCCTGCCGATATTCATGCAACAATAGAAGATCTAATGGCAAGATCTACAAACAAGCTATCCGGAACTGAGATTAACCTCATTCAACGCAAAGTACGAAAAGTCATTCGAAAGAGTGGCTCGAAAGATGGAAAGAAGGGAATTCCATTTTCCAAATCATCAGGTAGTGATGAGGACAGACTAATTGCGGAACGTCAGCATCTATTGACTAGCAATGCGATCCAAAACATCTTGCCTGCTCTTGCCGGGCCAGCGGAGCCAACTTCAGTGACCCCCGCAACTTCTATATTCCTATTGCTTTTACATACTCATGAATCCATGTGGGACAAGGTCTTCGAAACTGCGGTAGCGGAGACCAAGGCAGCCGGACTCAGTATGGATGTGAATGCTCTTCAACCACCAACGAGGTGTCCCGCCATTCCCAAGAAAACCTCCAATAATCCAACAGACTTGCCGGCTGGAGTTTCTCTGCAATCACTGACCTTTATGATTGGGCTTGCTTTGCGTAAGTTTCTTTTCTGAATGTTGATTCTATCTCTGTTTTTTTTCACTATTGCTGACTTCAACTAAACTGACTGGCTGAATTTTTCTTTGCAGGTGGAACTCGGCAGCAACGATTGCAGCTTTTATTTTACCTATTGCTTCCATCCAAGGTTCTTTCCAAGTTCCTTTCTGAGCACCCAGCTGGCGGTGTTCCCCTCTGGCTATTCGAAGTTGGTAATGAAACAATATTGAGTGTTTCGTCGCTCTCACACTACTACCATTACGGAGATGCGTTTACTCCAGGAGCTGGCGGCGATTATTGCCCATCAAAGGACACTTCACCACTGACTGTCAATGGAACAGATGCGACGTCATTCTTGGATGTGCTCCTTTCCGATCAAGAGGAAGTCAATGGTGGTACCGAGCCAAAACCTGCCGACCCCAAGGCTGCTCTTCCCAGCAAATCGTCTTTTGGAATTCGTCGAAGATCCAGTCATAATTCGATAGAAACATCGGGGGAATATTTTCTCGATTCAACTCAAACAGAGGTGATGGATAAGTTGCACGACGACAAGTACACTTTTTCGGTCGAGGAAATTGTTCCAGATGTCGAAGCAACTCTTGCAAAGATGAGTGGCGAAAAGCTACCCGCAGGAGCTGTGCCCATGAGTCAATTCAAAGCTTGGAGCGAAAGTGCGTTGGACAATAGTGCTTTGGATGCCATTATGCACCGCTTGTTTGGACATGGTATGCTTCCTAGCCCGGCATTGGAAGCCGACTTGGTCATGAACCGTTGGATCGAGTGGCAAGAGTCTGACTGCATTGAATGGTTGAAGCTTCAACAAAACGATTCCTTGACCAGTTCTGTCCGAAAGGCCCTCTCTTTGGATCCTGCGGAAAATGCAGAAACAGCGCCAACTCCAAAGCGATCACATCGAAGAGTATTCGGAGGCCTTGATGGCTTTGACGGTCGTGGTGGATTGGGCAATGGTGTCATGTACTGCGTGGAAAAGAAATGGTGGGATTCGTGGGAAGCTTACACTGGCTGGAGCTGGGGAGGAGAAAGTGCTGTTCGTAATCCAGATGCTCCAAAGCCAGAAACACTATCCACTGAAGCTCTAATTGATCGAGATCAAGATGAAATCGTAGGAGGAACATTTGGATCCTACGAGCTGATGAAATCCAATCTAGTCTTGGGTCAAGATTATGTGCTCGTTCCGCCAGGAGTATGGGATGTTCTCTACGAGATTTACGGAGGCGGTCCGCCTTTGCCTCGAATGGTCGGCAGTGGAAAGAAGGATTTCGGCTCGGACCTTGCCTCGTACGTTACTTCTCTTGCTGCAACAAAAGATACTTCAGAAATGGACTTGGATGCTGTCAGCTCGGGTCCAGTCAATCGAGCTCTAAAGGTTCCCAAGGCAATGCAGGTCGAAACTCATCCTTGGATTTTGCACTTTCACCTTTGTGATCCTCAGCAACCATATCGACGAGGCGATGCTGGTCCCATGACAGTTCGTGTGATGGCCACACCTGACCAACCACTCTGGCGACTATATGCCGAAATTGTTGGTAGATTGCCATTTAGCGCCTTTAAAGTGTATGGAAATGATGGTAGAGGCAGAGCACGATTATGGAAACGAGTCGAACAATCTGGTCCCAAGGATGCCATGTCGAGATTTGGCCCTTGGACCATCTTGTGCAAGAACAGATTTGCTATTCTTCCAAGCACGAGTCGTAAAGAGGAGGCGGGCGACCAATACGATGAGCTGAAGAAGAGTTGGGAAGAATTCGGCAGTGGCGAAACCGTCCAGAGTATTGGACTTGCAAATGGTGACCAAGTCATGGTGGAATGTGCTTCACTAAACCGGAGCGGTCAATTCATGTGGCCGCGAGAAGCAGCAGCCAAAGCAGGGCAAGTTCGTCGACTTGCTGACAAGGACACACAGTTCCGACGCATGTTGAGAGGCCTCGATGAAAATGGAAAACCTCTCGAAAAACCTCCGGCTCTCGTCGGCATGGTGCTTGATGCAATGGATAGCGCAGGCAGATGGTACCAGGTCGAGGTCATCCAGGTACAAGATGTTGACGATACGGATGATGATGACTCGATGCGCTCCGATTATTCTGGGGACGGGCCAAGGGACTCAAAGGAATTGTTGTTGGATTTCTCGGAACACGGTGGGCATTCAGAGTGGATCGAAATCGCTTCGGACCGATTAGCAGCTGCCGGAAGATTCACCGTTGGTGAGGACGATGGTTCCGATGACGGAAAAAAGGGTCCAAACGGAGCCAATAACAACGCCAAGGGCCCGGCTCAAGTCAAAAAGACTAATCAAGATACCGATAGCCATGGAAAGCTTTGTACAATCCCTGGATATGGAGCTTGTGGATTGGCTAATTTGGGAAATACTTGTTATGCAAACTCTGCTATCCAATGCATCAGTTACATGCCACTTCTTCGAGCGTATTTGCTGAATTCTCAATACAAGTCAACTGGTGAACTGAATAAGGACAATCCATTGGGAACCGGCGGAAAGCTGCTGGAGGAATTTGCTGAACTTTTGCGTGTGATGTGGAGTGCCAAGCTTGGAGAGAAATCACCGAATAAATTTAAATCCCAGCTCGGAAGGTGCAATATGCAGTTTGCGGGTGCAGACCAGCAGGACGCACAAGAATTCCTGAATTTCATGCTTGATGCGTTGCATGAGGATTCAAATCGAGTGATAAAGAAGCCTTATGTTGAAGGTCTTGAGGATGATTGGGTCAAACAAACAGGTTTGTCACGGGTCGGAGATGAAGCTTGGCGAAGGTACGGAAGTTTTTGTTTTGTTTCTTTTTGCAGGCGCAATAGCATTTTCTGACAGTCTGGCTGTTTTTAGATTTCTGAGAAGGAATCGTTCCGTGATGGCCGACATTGCCATGGGACAGGTACTGAACTCAGTTACTTGTTCCTCGTGCGGTTTTACGAGCCGAAATTTTGATCCTTTTAATTTACTGTCGGTTCCGTTTCCAGAAGTTGCCGATGTCATCTTCCGAGTCCACGTGGTCCGTCGAGCAAACGTTTTTAACACTCCTTGGGTTCTAAATAAACCAAAGAAAACAGCACAGGGAGGAGGTGCTGCTCGATTCCCTTTCAGAGGTGACGCAGTTCACAAACCACCTTCAGACCATTTGGTGGTGGAGGAATATGTCGTTGCAATGTCAAGATTGGCGGATAGCAACGATTTGAGGGACGAGATTCAAGAGCGTTGTGGTATTCCAGCTTCACACTTGCGACTGTGTAAGGCTGAAGACGTCGCAATCAAGGGCGATGACAGGTCTGTCGTCAGGCAGCACACACAAGTCACTCCACTAACTGATAAGGAGGGCCCTTGTAGTCAGTTTGCTCGACGAAGAGGACCAAATGGCGAAGAGACGAACGAGCCTCCTTTGATTGTAGCTTTCGAGTCAACACTTCGATCTCGGCCAAAAGATAAGTCCAAAGAAGATTTCTCAGACAGTGAGGATGATTACTCGGGTGCCTCTGGTGTGGAAATGACCGACAGAGAAGTCAGCAGAATGGAGGAAGAAGTTGTACTCTATGGCAACTCTGACGAGTGCAGGCTTTTCGACACTGAACCAACCACTGTTGCAAAGGCCGTGTCTCGAAGCCTATGGCCCCGCACTGAAGAAGACTTCAAATTGGGGTTGCGCGTTGACGCTATTGATCACAAGCAGCACTGGTTCCCAGGTAGTATTGTTGAAATTCTTGAGAACAGCGGAGACAAGGACGAGAGCAAAGATCAAGATGGGGCAAAAACCAAAGTCAGAATTCATTTCGACAACTTCTCATCAAAATGGGATGAAATGTACACCATTGATCATTTCAACGAGGGACGAGTGAAACCTCTTTATTCACATGCCGTCCCAAGATCAAGGCCAACAGAATTTGTCTGCCACCATCGTTACATGGATCGAACAAAGCGTCTATCTAGTCTTTTTGGCCAGACCTTTTTTGTACAATGCCAGAACGAGTGGAGTACAGCACGAGCTGGAGCCCAAATCTTGGCTCAAGCTTCTCGATTCTTGAAGCTACCACAAGCCATCAAGGGTCCAGTTGACGTGGACGATAACGGCGAACGCGAAGCCAAAATTCAACGATTGTATGATAGAACACAAACTGTCCTCTCGGACCTGATTGATCTTTTGATTGACTGCGATCGTGAGTACATTCAAAGTTCTCTTGCACTTGGCGCCGACGGAAAAGTGAACCCGAGTCACCAAGGTGAAAAATACCGCAACCCATCGTTCGACGCAACGGGGCTATCAGCTTCACTCGTGAAGAGAGTCAATACACTGTTGCACAGGTTGCCGTTTGAAGTACGAGTTTGTACCGCCGAATCTCCCCTTGGTGGCACAAATGACGAAGTCGCTTTCCCGTTTTCTCTAATGAGAACAATCGGAAATTATATGAACTCTCGGCATGCTGTAGTTTTGCAATGGCGCGAACCTCCTTCTGATAAGAAGGCGACTGGCAAGAACGTTAGCTATCTTGGTGCACCAGTGATGTATGTTCCACCAGCTGTGAATATTGATGGAGAGAGTGCCGAGATTTTGGAAGAACTGAAAGCCAAAGGAGCAACAGGGTCCAGTGGCCATAATAGTGCGGGGCTACGACTTGGCGTTTGCCTGTCTGAATACTGCAAGGTACAAGATCTAGAAGACGACTGGGCGTGTCCGCAGTGCAGAGAGCGACGGGGAAAGCAAAGTCTTGATTTGTGGCGACTACCAGATATTTTGACGATACACATCAAGCGTTTCAACTGTTCTGCCAGATGGAGAGAAAAGATCACAACGAAGGTGAATTTCCCTCTTAGCGGGTTGGATATGAACACATGGTGCCATGCTGATTCTCCATCGATCCAAGGCGCCGGTGATGAAGCGAATACGTACGACTTGATTGGTGTGATGAACCACTATGGTGGCATGACTGGCGGACACTATGTTGCTACTTGTAAAGCGACTGCTTGTAGTCGTGAGGGCCGAGAAGAAGTCGCCCACGGCTTTAATGGAGCAGGGTCAGGGAAGGCGACGATTGTAGACGAAGATACTGATGGGCAAAGCGGTTGGAGAATTGGCCGACAAAAATCCGAAGTTAATTTCAACAAGTTGGCTGCCGTCCAAACCGGCAAGACAACTGAAGAATCTGCAGAACCTCTTTGGCTACAATTCGATGACGAGATGGTGGAACCAATTGCCCCGCGAAATGTGGTTTCTGAGATGGCATACGTCTTGTTCTACCGCCGACGACAGCTGACTCCTTCCAATGTTGCGAGATACAGTGTTTTAGAGTAGGTGTAATTGATTGGTATCCATTAACTTTATGTTTGTTTCAGTGTGATGTATAATGATAACCCTATAATCATTAAATATATATAATAGTCTTACATTATTTCTCTGGCTTTCAATGGTACTGTATACCTGTACCGGGTATGAGTAGGACTATCGGGATATACACTATAATCAAGGATAGATCTAATCCTCATTGTTGCAGTAGTCGATTGAATCAATCGTCCATGATGCCTTTTCTTCATGATCACATCACGACCCAGACCCTGACAAGAACAACACTGCAAGAACGCTGACAAGAACAAGCCCCACAATCGGCCCTTTAAACTGTCAATCGCTATAATAAGCATAAGCATGGCAACAAAAGAAGCGGCAAGTTCGTCCAAAATGACCGAAGAAGAGAAAATGCTCAAGGGTGAATTATATCAAGCCTTTGATCCTGTCTTGTTGGAACAACGGCAAAAAGCCAAACTATTGTGCTTTCAACTAAACCAAACGTCGCCTTTGGAAGTCGAAGCTCGTCAACAGATTGTACAAGAACTGCTTCCCAATTCCAAGGACAGCAAGAACATTTGGATTGAATCACCATTTCATGTCGACTATGGGATTCATCTACACGTGGGGGACAACTTCTATGCCAACCACGGGTGCACCATATTGGATTGCAATGCTTGCACGGTCGGAAATAATTGTTTGTTGGCTCCGCATGTGTGCATTTCGGCTGCCACGCACCCAATCGATCCTGTCTTGCGATCCAGTGGTGCCGAAATAACAGCTCCGATTACAATTGGTGACAATGCATGGATTGGAGCCAATGCCACCGTATGTCCTGGTGTCACACTTGGAAATAATGTCGTAGTTGGAGCTGGGGCCGTTGTGACCAAGAGTTTTGGAGATAATGTAGTAATTGGTGGAGTACCAGCCAAAGTAATTCGGCATTTGGAAATATCCAATGAGCCAAAGAACGAAGATTAAGAAAGCCGAACTAGGACCATATTGAAGCAGTGCAATAATAGCAATATCAGAAGCTACTGTACTACAGTAGAAAGCAGAGGGTCCAAGTCGGCAGCAAGTTTGTCGTTTTCAGATCTGTCCGTACGTCGTCGTAAAAAGATCGATGATGTGATTTGATCCACCACAATTCGCTTCTCCCAAAAGCCATGACAGCAGCCTTGTTGGAGAGAAGAATCGTCTCCTCTCCAGTAATCCTTTGCTCATTGCTGCTGCTGTCATTACACATGCTACGGGCGCGCAGTGCTCTTGCATTCAGAGCAGTTCCTTTTCTCCGCAAAACTCGATGCAAACAACCTTCGACAATTCGGTGGCTGGCCACCAAAACGGATGATGAAACTCGCATCTATGATGAATTAAAGTGGCTGTCCAGTGAGATTATTCGTAATGATGAATTATATTACAATGAACAACCTATCCTGGAGGATGAAGAATTTGACGCCCTCGTCAGAAGAGAGAATGAAATCAAAACGCAATTTCCAAAGCTGTTGAAAAAGCTTCAGAAAGAGTCTGGTCTAGGCGCCGAGGCCACTCGAGATGGGCGTGTAGGAAGTCAATCTAACGTTGTGGAACGCAAAAAGAGAAAACACTTGCGTCCCATGTTGTCCCTGGACAATGCTCACGATGAACCCCAACTTTTGTCATGGTTGAATCGTGTCAGTAAGGCCACCGTGGAAGTGATGTCTGAATCTGGATCATCATCTGAATCCAGTGACGATTCTACCGTTTGGATTTTAACAGAGCCCAAATTGGATGGAGTCAGCCTATCACTAAGATATGAAATAGAAACATTGAAAGATGGAAATCAATCATACGAACTGAGTTGGGCATCCACCAGAGGCGATGGTCGGGTTGGTCAGGATGTGACCGAAGCCGTTAGTTCCATACCCGACATTCCCAAGTCTCTCAGTGTTATTGATAAGATCAGGCCTAAGAAAGGCGATGAGATGGTGTCTATACTAGAGATTCGAGGGGAAGTCGTCTTTCCAAAAACACAGTTTGAAGCGCTTTCAACCAATTTTACGTTCAGCAACACCCGGAATGCCGCCGCTGGAATCCTTCTCCGGAAACCATCGGAAGACCCCGAGGAGGCTGAAGAAGCCAAGGAACTTCAAGGTCAACTGCAATTCTATGCCTATGATGTTGTGGGAGACAAAGGCGCGTTTTCAAACGGGCTTGACAATCGAGCAATGATGCAAGAATGGGGTTTCGTTGTGCCAGCGCCAGCCATTGTTACGGATTTGGAATATACCCGAAACTCGACACAAGAAGAGTTCTTGGAGCAAATGAATATCAATCAAATGCTAGTATACTACGAGTCCCTTCGTCGTCATAGGCTGGGTCTTGGTCCAGATTCGTCCGTCGATTACAATTGGAGGGATTTCGACATGGATGGTTGCGTGCACAAAGTTGCGAATCCAGATATCAAGCAAGAAATGGGCCGATCCATGAAATCTCCCAATTGGGCCGTGGCGCACAAGTATCCAGCAATTTCTGCTGTCACGGAATTGATCGATGTGATTGTTCAAGTTGGACGTACTGGAGCACTTACTCCGGTGGCAATCTTGAAGCCAGTTGCAGTTGGCGGAGTCAACATCTCCAGAGCGACGCTTCACAACTTTGACCATATGCAAGAAATGCTGGGAAATGTTACTTCGGTACTTGTCAACACTTCCGTCTTGGTTCGTCGAGCAGGTGATGTGATTCCACAAGTCGTATCAAGGGTTGGTGATGCCTCTACAAATGAGAACCGAAACAATGAGAGTGACGATTGGATCTCGCTGGAGACACCCAAACATTGTCCAGCCTGTGGTTCCGATGTTGCATGGGAGGAGACCAACGGAACAGCTATCGGTCCTGTTGTTCGATGCACTGGTCCACCAATGCTCTGCCGTCCACAAGCAATAACAACATTGGCACATGCCTATTCTCGAGATGCCTTGGACGTCACGGGGCTTTCGGAAAGTCGAATTCAGCAGCTCATGGACGCGGACCTTCTCAAGTACCCAGCAGACATTTTCAACTACAAGGAGAAGGATTGGGAAAGGCTTCAAGAATTGCCTCGATGGGGTCCAAAATCGGTTAAGAATCTCCAAAGTGTCACTCACAAGGTAGCAACTCAAGGCATACCATTGAGGCGCTTTCTATACTCGCTGGGTCTCCGTCATATGGGGAAGCATTCGTCCGAGTTGGTTGCCTCCACTTTTGGAACCAAAGAAGAGTTTTTTAAGGCCATGGATACTGGGTTGACATGGGAAAAACCTACTATAGACGAAGAAAAGGAAGAGGAGGAAGATGAAGAAATTTATTTGGAGCATCCATTCTCAAAGCTGAACGGTCAGCTAGGAATTGGGGAATCCGTCATGTCCTCATTGCTTTCCTTTGCCAAGAACAAGGACCTTTCAGAAGCTGCAAAAGAACTTGCTAGTGCCATCAAAATCCTTGATGAGCAAAAGGTAGAATACCAAGATACAGCAGTACCATCAGAAGGAAAAGACGATGTTTCAAAACCATGGAGAGGTATGAGAGTAGTATTCACTGGAGCCATTCCCGACTTTAGTCGGTCGTCTGCACACAGTGCTGCCAAGAGTCTCGGTGCCAAGGCTACACCAGGAAGTGTGAGCAAATCAACGGATCTTGTAGTCTATGGGGATAAGGGAGGCAAGAAACTGAAACAAGCAATCCAGTATGGAGTTACTACTATGACAGCCGAGGAGTTTATCCAACTTGTGAAGGAACATGACCTAGTGGACTAATTGTGATCGAACCAGTCGGACTGCCGACGTGACTGACTGAGCTGATAAAAATGATCTGACGTCATGACTCACTCATTCCAACACGAAACAATATGCGTTTGCACCTCAACATAACTCAACACAACTCAACGCAACACAACGACGACACTTCGAAGAACTTCTGAACAGCGATATGCGCTCTAACTTGCTACTCGTCCTTTTCCTTTGTGGACTTCAAACAGCCGAAGCTTTACAAAATCTGCAGCTGCCAAAGGTGTTCCAAATGTTTCAGTCAAAAGAAGCTGGCGTCATCCAAACCGATCAAACCACCTCTCGAGTAGATCTTGAAAAGGAGCTCATCCGATCCATTAGCAATACAGAATACGGCAAGTCTGCCAGCCTATCGAATCAAATCGAGGTTTTGAATCGAGTTTCACAGCTGGAAAGTGAATTCCCCGCTCCCCCATTGCAGAATATATTAGAAGATGGAAGCATTGACGGGACATGGTATTTGCAATACACAGCTCCAAGTGAGATTGAAGCTGATGGAATCGACGGGGACAAACTTAAATCCTCTTGGGAAGTCAAAGACGCAGAAGAAAATATTACCACAAAACGATTTGAAGCAAAGGGATCGGTTTCTGCTGGAGGCATAGATGTCGATGTTAGCAACAAGCCACCAAAGCAAATATTTGATCTATCGCAAAACAGTGTGTACAATGAAGTCGTCCTCCCAAAGGCTTTTGTTCGGGTTGGTGGCTCCTTTCGTCTTTCAGAAAACAACGAGAAACGTGCTATTGTGTCGTTCAATCAATGTACAATTGATTTGAATTTCATCAAACTAGATCTGGGGTTTCTGTTTGGAGTCATAGGATTCTTCAAAGGCACCACTGAAAATGGGTGGTTAGAAACTACGTATCTATCTGACAACGTCAGAATTGGAAGAGGAAACAAAGGATCGATGTTTGTCCTGACACGAGATGAAGGATCTGTGGCTCCATAAATGATCGCAAGCACCGAGTCACAAAGTCTGTCCCTTCAAATAGGATAAATGATAAGGGTGTGGAGTTTTTTTTACAAATTGTTTTGCTGCGTAGGTTTGTAAATGGCTGTGGAAAGTGGCAATAGTTTCATGTCTATGAGGGGCGAGCTGAGTTAGCGTTTTCTTCAATTATTTCCAATTTGAATTTCAGCATTGGTTTCACATGGTGTCTTCACATCGTTACCAAAGTTACACACAGCAACAACGACGCAACCAAACAATGCAAAATGTCAGAGGAATTTGATGATATCGAAGAAGGCCGTATTGAGCGGGCAAAAAGAAATTGCTTCTTGCGGAGGATGACTGCCTACGGAATGATTGGAATTTATTTGTGTTTGTTCTACTTTCTCTACTTTCGAAAAGGCAACAAATCAATGGACAAGGTCTAAAAAGAAACAACCCAAATCCATAAGGACACTCTAAGGATCGATACAAAAAGTCAGGTTCTTCATGCAAGAGATGAATGCAATTCAAGAAGATGCTTTGCCAAAACGAACGCCATACACAGTATTTTGAATTTGACGAACGATGTGGAAAATAAAAAATTCAATATGGATAGTCTTAGTCAACTTTACTAATAGCATCCATCACAAGAGTCGCTTGTTTTGTACCCTTGACATTATGAACTCGGAGAATGGTGCAACCCAGATTCGATGGCGTGGGTGATCCAAGGCAAAGCGCGCATATTACTGATGCAACGGATCCAAAATCCCGTTCAGATGCTTCTGATTCTCCAGTTATCCTTCCAATAAACCCTTTGCGGCTGGTTCCAAGCAAGAGAGGTATCCCTTGTAGCTGTTGTCGCATACTCGTTGCTGTGTGTTTCAGCAAGCGCAGATTTCCTTCATTATCCTTTGCAAACCCGATTCCTGGGTCCAGCACCTGTTGCCACCGATGAATCCCATTACTCTCTGCAGCACAAGACCTCTCGATTAGAGCACCAGTCACCGCCCCACAAACGTCATCATTCTCGTATTTTGTCATTGATTGCATGGACTCTGGAGTCCCTCGCATGTGCATCAGGATCATTGGCACTCGCAACTCGGCCACAGTCTCCAACATTTTCGGGTCAAATGTGCCGCCTGATACATCATTCACAATATCAGCTCCAGCTTCGATTGCGGCACGAGCAACATCGGCATGTCTAGTGTCTATTGATATGGGAATGTCCGATTTCTGTCGAATCACTTTAATGACAGGCACAGTCCGTTCAATTTGTTCTTCGATGGAAATTTCCAATGCACCTGGTCGAGTAGATCTTTCAAAGTATACAGTTAGAGATAGAAGCGAAGGCACTTTTTCGTTCCTGATTGATACCTACTCTCCCCCGATGTCGATAATACGAGCGCCTTCGGTTTCCATTTGTAGTGCATGCTCAACAGCTGTATCCACAGAATTATTCCACTTGCCTCCGTCGCTGAATGAGTCTGGAGTAACGTTAAGGATTCCCATTACGATTGTTTCATGAAAGGTAACGGCCCGATCTCGTTGCAGAGGTAATATTTGGACAGTGTCGTTGCCATCAGAAGCACTCGCTTTCAACTTCCTCCAGATATCACCCACGGATTCCTCAAGCTTTGGGTGAATATATTCGTCACCAGCAACTTCCTTCAAAGGGTCCATCACAAAGCTTCGCTCTTGCATCAATGGATGAGGGATGATCAAGTCTGGTTCGTTTACGATGACGGGGGTACGATGACTGTGACGGGTTGGAGCCCCACTGGTGGCGTCCTCAGAGTGGTTCTCGTCGAAGAACAAAATGTCCAAGTCAACAGGTCGGGGGCCATTTCTTTGCCCGTGTACCAGGTCTCTCCCCAAATATTCTTCTACCTTCTTTAGTCGACGAAGAAGTGCACGTGGCTCGAGATCGGTTTCAACTTCGACGGCCCCGTTCATGAACTGGGGTTGGTCAGTCACATACATTGGAGCTGTACTATACAGAAATGATGTCCTGACAAGTCTGGAATCGAGGTAGGATGATTTATCGAAAGAGGAGTCACAGAGCAGGTCTAAAGCCACAGCGATGTTTTGAAAACGATCCCCTAGATTAGATCCCACCGCCAAAAATACACGGTACTTCTTTTGTTTAATCGGATTCTCAGTGGAAGCACCACCCCGGGGAACGACAAAATTACTGCGATATCTTGACTGATTCATGGGAGCATTATACCAAAACAGTCTTGTTTTGTGTTGAAAGAAAGGAACACGTCCACCCAGGGCCGAGTGTTTTGCCACTTTCGAGACACCGACGCGCACGAGCCGTGGTGTCAGAGATATAAACCTTCGACCAGTAGTTGCTGACATGGTTGAATTCAACAGACAGAAAAAGATTACACAAAACAGCTGATGTCGCGCTCTGGAGTACTCGTACTGAAGTATATTTTCTCCGCTATTCGATGATATTGTACCTCTTACCATAGGATTGTCTCCAGAAGACTTTCTGACGTTTGTCGTTGTTTTTTTGTGATGTGACGGTGTGAGTGTTCTCGTCGGAGGCAAAGATCTTGGCCTGTCCTACGTACGACATCGCTGCTTCTCCGATTTAAAACCAGCAGCCTATCGTACCATTATCAATGTTCATAATGAGTATTATTATGAGCTAAAGAAGTTTACAAGCTGAAGAACTTTTCAAATGTTCAACCTTTTGAGGGCCATCACCATTCGAGCAGTGCCCTTGAGTGTTCGCTTGCCAAGTTCTTCGCTCAACTCGGACATATTGTTGCTCAAATCAGCTGTGTGCTTGTCCCCAGAATGGATCCAAGGGCTTGATAGTGCATCGGCAGCAGTTATTCTCTCGTCTGGATTTACGTTCAGCATTCGCTTTATTATATCCTTCGCCTCGTCTGATATGATTTTCCAATACTTGCTGTGAAACTTGAATTCACCATAGCGGATCTTCTTCAATACATCGGCCTCCTTCTTGGCACGGAAAGGATAGTACCCACCAAGCATTATAAAGATTATAACTCCGACTGTCCACATGTCGCAAGAAACGTCATAGGCCGGATGACTTGATAGGATTTCAGGCGCAACGTACTCCTGAGTTCCACATTGAGTGTGGAGAGAGTTGGGGAAAGAAACAACCTTCGCAGACTCAAAGTCAGATATCTTTACATTGTTCGGTTCATTTTCAGGTAAAAGCAAGCTCTCCAACTTGAGATTTCTAATTGCGATGCGATTGTTGTGACAATGATGGACTCCCAAGAGTAGATTCCTTACAACTTCCTTTGCATCAAATTCTGTGTATCTCTTCTTCGCAACTAGCTGTTCAATCAACGTTGAACCGTAGACTCGCTCCATTACAATGTGAGTATAGTCGGCATCCTCATATACGTCCAGCAACGTAACAATATGCTTGGACCCTTGCAGCGTTCGCAATGCCGCAATTTCGTCATCAAGAGCGACGACGTCAGACTCGACCAACTTGCGTCTACAGACCTTCTTAACCGCAGCTTCCGTTTTTGTTTTTAGGTTGATCGCAATATAGAGATCCCCAAACTCGCCCTCTCCGATCTAAATATTCAATTGATTCAGATAAATAGTAGTTCCGAGATGTCGTAGCATGATGCAAATAAGCAACTCACCTGTTGCAAAAGTTCAAAGGCTTGGTCAAACTTCTCTTCTTCCGCGTCTTGTTGTTCCTGAAGCATCTCCATTCTTGCTGCTTGATTGATTCCCATCGCCTGAAATTTTTTCGCAACAATGAGGGCGCTGAAAAAGAGCAACGTGACAATCGGCATATCGTTCTTACCAAGGTCCCAAAGTCAAGCATCTTCGACGACTCGTTGAATTTGTGGATTTTGTTCAATTTCATTATCTGCCAAAGGTAATGAGTTGAGAACAATCTATGGCGCAAACAACATTTCGACCTTTGAAGAACTTACACCCATCGCCGCCTTCTTGAATTTATTCTTCTTGATTTGTTTTTGAGCGCCGGAAAGATCCCTGGCAGCAAGAGCTTCAGCAGCCGTACCCATCCATTCGCACTGCAGAGCATCATCTGCAGATAGTCTTTTGCCTGGATCTCTCTGCAACAACCCGGTAACCATGTCCTTTGCTGAAGATGAGATCCCAGCCCAGTATTCACTGTGAAACTTGTACTTTCCTTTCAATACTCGCCGTTGGACATCTTTCATGGATCCTTCAAAAGGAAGATACCCAGCTAACATGCAGTAGACTGAAACGCCAACAGACCACATATCGCAACGGAAATCATAGAAACCAGACTCAGGTAACCGAAACACCTCTGGTGCCATGTAGTTTGGAGTCCCACACATTGTCTTCACTCCTTTTCTCCCGCATTTCTTCGCAAAACCGAAGTCAGCAAGTTTCACGGTAGCAATGTCATTCTTTTCCACGAGTAATAGATTATCGAGCTTAATATCTCTGTGAGCGATATTCTTTCTGTGACAGTATCGCACTGCCTCGAAGAAATATGTGCACGTATCTCTTGCCTCAGCTTCTGTATACACCTCCTTTTCAGCAATTCGATGCAATACATCACCACCCTTCATTTCTTCCAACACCAGGTGCAGCTTATCAGGAAATCGGAATACATCGTAGAGACGAATAATGGACGGTCCACCTCGAACATATTTCATGGCATTGATCTCTCCCTGGAGCATTATCAACTCTTTATCATTTAATCCGGACAGATCAATTTCCTTGATAGCATACGACTTCCCAGTTGACTGATGAAAGCAACTGTGCACAATTGCGAAAGCCCCTTGCCCAAGTTTGTGTCGCTTTTCATAGAAAGCGTCTACAGGTCGTCCACTGCTGCCTTCCTCCTTGAATGCAGTCGCAGCTGTGGCAACCGATTTTTGTCCAGTCATATACGATGTCATCGAATCTTTCCGCTTATTTTCCAGGTAGCCTTGGAAGTCGTCCTTTAGCTCATCACCTTTCTTGCCCAACTGTTCGAACGCGATTCAAGAAAATACGTTGATATAAGGAGACAGTAGCTAGTTTTTCATCATCATCATGATCATTACTGAAATACCAGTAAACACTTACCTGATTGTCCGCAACAACACTTTTCAAAGCAGATGCATCGACCTTGTTGCCAGCAACCTTCTCTTTCATCCATTGATGATTCAAGGCTTTCTTGGCTGTGATTCTCTTCGTGGGCTTGATGCTCAAGCACTGTGCCACCAATTCCTTCGCGGAAGGCGAAATGTTGTTCCATCGAGTGGGGTAGAATTTGTGATCGCCATTACGGGTACGTTCAAAGATGGCATTCGTATCATTGCTGGAGTTGGGATCAAAGGGCAAATAACCGCCCAACAAGAGGAAGAGAATGACCCCAAAACTGAACATGTCACATTCCACATCGTAAGCAGGCCATCGTTCCAGAATTTCAGGCGCCAGGTATCCTGGTGTTCCACAAAGAGTCCGACAGGCATTCTTATTTTCTAGATACTTGGAAAAGCCAAAGTCAGAAAGTTTGACAGAAGAAATTTTGTTCTTGTCCTTCAACATGAGATTCTCTGGCTTCACATCACGGTGGACAACTCGCTTAGAATGCATGAATTCGAGGCCATTCAAGATACTGATACTAGCGTCGCGAGCCTCTCGCTCGGAGAAAGAACCCTTCTCTATGATACAGCTGAATAATTCACCTCCTGGAAGCAATTCAAAAACAATATGGCAGATGGAATCGCCTACGAAGGCATCCTGTATACGGCAGATTTGAGGGCACTCTTTCAGAAGCTTCATATTATTAATTTCGAGCTCCAACGTATCCTTGGCCCCCTTTCGCTTCATGTCTTCTCTATCAATGACCTTTGCGGCAAAGTTCATATTCGATTCGTTGTGGGTGGCCAATACTACGTCTGAGAAGCTCCCTTTACCCAATGCTTCCCCAGTTGTGTAAAGATCTTGAAAGGTTTCTCCTTCTTTCGCCTCTTTTACATTATCCAGATCTTCCTCATCATCAGAAAAAGTCTCCAACTTCTCTAATGTTTTAACTGAAGATTTAGTAGATTCGAAAGATTCTGGAAATGGTTTTCGGATGCGAAGGACACCGCGTTTAAGCAGTGAAAGATCCAATGCGACCTGGTTGTCATCCAGTTCCAATATGGCTTCATTGAGCTTCTGTTCTCCGTCTCCTCTGGAACTTTCGACGGCCAGCTCGATTTCTTGGCCGTCCCAAAGAGAAATCACAACCATGGTAGCGACAGTATTTCGTTTACTTCCCTTGTAACCTGTCGTTCCTGTTCTTATGCCTCCCCAAAGGATCTTGGAAATGCGGCTCACCTTTCGGCACTGAAAACTGTGTGAGGATCCATGCAGTATTCATTTTCTCCGTCTGCTGATCGCATGAAAAAACCACTAAAATTGGACATGTCTCGACTAAGTTAGTACCCGGTTACATTTCAGATGGTGATTGGCCGGGGGGGCTGCATTGTTTATCTTCTTGAACGCTGCTACACCATTTCTCAAGGATTAACCTTGGCACTGGATCACGAAGAAGCGCTGCGGCTCCCTACCGGTAGGACCGCCACTTCTAGAACTAATAAGAAACTGGCTGGTGCCCTCATGAACAAGAGTGGAGTAATGAATAGAATGGCAAACCGAAATTGACTAGCACTACATGCGGTGATGGATACCTACAGTGTAATGATAGATACTGTTTGTTCAACCTTCTGGCTGGAGTACGGTATTTATTGACTATCGTTTAGTCTTCCAGGTCATTGACCCGGTCCCTAATTTGGAACCCCCAAGGTCGCTGTCCCCCGAACTAATTGTTCCGAGTTGATGATATCACATTCGCAGCTTGCCAACTCGACTGACTGCTCTCCTTCCAGTTCTACTACTACGGTCACCTTTCTTACCTGCTCCAAAAGTAGGAGAAGAGGAAGCAACAGCTACATCGGACAGTTCTAGATTTCAAGAAAAAGAGCGAAACAAAAAGCCAACAAAGATTGGACAAAATTGAAAGGGTGAAGATTAAACGAATAGTGCAAACGACGTCTCTCTAATTCAATCCATCCAATCCAACCTAGTCCAAGCTCAGGAGTCGAGGGGAACTCTAGGAGATGGGCTGCGGTCAATCCAAAGAAGAGGCAAATCTTCAAAATGAAGCTGCCAAATTCCTGGAGCAGCCAAATCAGAATAATTTTGCAAATTCCAAACCAGTTCTACATGGCCAACCACAAGCACCGATAATACACCCAGCGCGATCTCCTCCACAGCCACGACCACCAAGAACTTCGGACCAGAAATTGCCGGCTCAAACGAAACCCTCAGATAGCAAAGAATATCCATCGCTGGCGCAAACGAGACCTTCAGGGAACAACGCATACGTGTCGCCATCAGAGTATGAATCGCCGTCTCAAACGAGACCCTCACAAGACAATGGTTTCGGATCACCACAACCGAGGGGAGGAAAATCATACAAACCACCGATAAGTTCCAATGAATTGGCTTCGCAAGGTTCTATCGACTCGGAGCAAATCGCTGCCAACATTCAAGACGCGGCAACCCCTACCGCAGGAGTAAAAGGATTTCGAGATGAATCAGGTGCCCGCCGGTCTACAGAACGATTCAAAGATCACAAGCCGGCCGCTAAACCAAAGCGGACAAGAACCAAGTCCAACGCTCGACCATCGCCCATTGAGAGTGAGATAGCTCAACCAGCCGTTCCTACGCGTGTTTCGGCTCATCTTCCCGCTGATATTGTAATTGAAGAAGCCAAAGATGGAGAAACCTTTGAGCAAGTGTATAGAACTGGAAAACAGCTCGGAGATGGTGCCTTTTCCAAGGTCGTCCTTGGAACTCACCGCTTGTATGAAATTGATTTTGCGGTCAAAATGATTGATAGAAAAAAAATGCATTGGGGTGGGAGGGATGCCCTGAAGGATGAAATCGATAATCTTCGCAAACTCAAACAAGCTCCAAATGTTGTCAAATTTCAGGATGTATTCTATGAGGAATCTGTGTGTTATCTTATTGTTGAACTTTTACCAGGAGGCGAGTTGTTTGGTCGGATTATCGAAAAGGGAACCTTCTCCGAACGAGAGGCGAGAGATGCGAGTAAATGTGTGCTGAGCGCTCTACACTACATGCATTCCAGACGAATCGCCCATAGAGACATGAAACCGGAGAATTTGCTATTAGTTGTGAGTCCAAACTATTTGCATGCGTTTCGTTCTGACATTCAACCGACTCATCTTTTTCTCGTTTAGGACACTGCTGCAACCAATCTTGTAAAGCTATCCGACTTTGGATTTGCCAAAGCTGTCGAAACACGGAACTCCTGTCGAACCCTGTGCGGAACTCCTGGTTACATGGCTCCCGAGGTCCTGGAGCGATGGCCAGCCTATGATGTGACGTGTGATATGTGGGGTTTTGGTGTCATTCTATTTCTACTTTTGGGAGGGTATTTACCATTTGATCCGACAGCTTCCAATGATGTCAATGCGGTGTTTGAACGGACGAGAAATGGGCAATATCAGTTTTATCCGCAGCGGTGGCAAAATATTTCCCACATGGCAAAAGACTTGGTGGCGCGTTGTCTGAACACCAACCCAATGCGACGAATGACGTCTCATCGAGCAATGGAGCACCCATGGATACTGGCTGGCGAAGAGATTTCAAAAACTAAGATTGATACCAAGCGATTGCGAGAGAGTATTGCCAAGACCAGACCTCAAAAAGCAACGAAAGGGGCGTCTAAGCCAAAGAAAAACCGTGTGAAGGATCTTCAAGATGACTTCACAGTATACATGGACAAGCGAAAAAAAGACTCAATTGTGTCCCATATGACAGGTGCACACAAGACTATTGCTACAGCGGCTACTGCATTTAAAGAGGAAGGAGGTAGCGGGCAGTCAATCGATTCATTTTATACGAAGGGCAAAATGTTGGGCAAGGGCGCCTTTGCCCAAGTATACCGCGCACGACACAATCGCACTGGGCAGTACTACGCAATCAAGGAAGTGGATCTCTCGAGATTAAACCCTAAGGAATTGAAAACTCTTAATGAAGAGATCACTGTTTTGAAATTTGTTCGCGGTGGACCAGGAATCATTCGGCTGTTCGATGTCTTTCGGGAGCCGCAGAAGTATCATCTGGTCATGGAGGAGATGACTGGCGGAGATTTACTGAACCGGATTCTGGAGAAGGAGGTTTACACAGAAAACGAAGCGCGAGATTGTTGTCGGCACTTCTTTGAAGCTGTCAAGTATTGTCACAGAAAACGGATCGCTCACCGTGATATAAAGCTCGATAATTTGCTACTCGTGGAAAAAGGAAACGAAGCGACTCTGAAGCTTGCTGATTTTGGTTTTTCGAGAAAATGCAGGTCGGTTGGCTTAACGACGATGTGTGGCACACCAAACTACATGGCTCCAGAGGTGTTCGATTTACAACCAGGTGGTTATGATTTCCGATGTGACATGTGGTCGGTCGGAGTGGTAGTTTACTGCCTACTTGGTGGATACCTACCATTTGAGGGCGACATCAAGAGGATCAAGAGGAAAGTGCTGAGTGGAAGTTACAAGTTCCACACCGATTATTGGAAGAATGTTTCCACACCAGCAAAAGAATTGATTGCTCGTATGCTGGAATTGAATCCCAAAAAGCGAATTTCTGCTGAGCAAGCGCTCCGATGCGAGTGGATGGGACTTGATGAAGACCAGCTCACTACTAATGATCTCTCTTCGACTCAAGAGAAATTCAAGGGTTCAGACAAGCTGAAGGCATTGGAAAAAAGAATATTAGCTGCTGGTAGAGATCGCATCGACGAAGAGGAGGAGAAATTTGCCGAAGGGTATGAGTTACTTCAGCAGGTACGTTACTTTCTATCTTTCCACCAGGCGCTTTGTTGCACTATAATTGTGACTCACTAGGTTGCCCCTTGCATAGATCGGGCATGGAGAATTTGCTGAAATCCATATTGCAATTCAACGAAAGAGCAATGATGTCGTGGCTGTCAAAAAGGTTTGCCGACGGACCCTTGTTCCATCGGATGTGATTGCTCTAGATGATGAGATTGCTGTGATGCGAGCTATAGTCGAGTCAACTCACGTTATCCGCCTCAGAGAAGTTTACGAAGATTCTGATTATACTCACATCGTAATGGATCGGATAAATGGTACCGTCTTGATCGAGAAGCTAGTAGAGAAGAAGAGATTTCCAGAAGCTGAAGCAAAAGCAATAGTATGTAACCTGCTGGTTGGAGTCAAGCACTGTCACGACAAGCGCATCGCAATTCGCAATCTGAAGCTCGAGAGCTTGCTTCTGCCCGATGATGACCCGACAAATGTGAAGATTACAGACTTTGAGTGCTCAAAGGTGGTCCCCTTCCCAAACTCGTTGCGAACCCAGTGTGGAACGCAAGAGTATGTCGCCCCTGAAGTTCTGGAAAATAGGCCCGCATACGATGTGTCGTGTGATATGTGGACCGTCGGAGTGATCGTCTTCATAATGTTGGGAGGATACTACCCATTCCGTGGAAAGAAAGAGATTGATGTTCTGAAGAAGGTTCGCTACGGAGAATTCAAGTTTCATGACAAGTATTGGAAAGGCATTTCAGAGAATGCAAAAGATCTTATCAATCGAATGATGACCGTAGATCCAGAAAAGCGCATTACAGCTGCTGACGCCCTGATCAGCAAATGGATCAATTCAGATGGTTTCATGGACATTTCGACCCAAAATGGGGAGTTAGATGAGCTTGGCGATTCCTTCTCAGAAATATCCCGAGGTGTACGCTCCACGCAGTCTTCGCAGCTTCTGATGGCAATGAACAAGAAAGATCTTAGTGCTGTTCCTGAGGGATGAAGCAACTTCGTATGAGGTGATGTGAATGGTGAAGTATTATGATTCAAGATGTTGGTGGTAAAAGGATACTGTGTTGTGAAGCGAAATGGAACAATCTCAAATCGTTCGACCTCGGGATTCGAGTTGAGACAAATCAATCTTGATACGGAATTGGAATCACAGCAAGTAAAAACGAAGACGACTCGTCTCCTGAATAGCAATCCTACAAAAGCCTCGCTAAATAGTCCCGCAAGTAGGGTGAAGATATAGTTTACAATATTATCACTATGCATCATTCGGATGAATGTGCAAATAATCAGCGTTTAGAAATCTTGGTGCGACCGAAAACCACTCAGGCTCTGGAGCTTTTTAGTTGCCATGACCATCTTGACTGCGCTGCGTAGCTTGGATTTCGCACTTCGCAGGTTCTTCAAGTCCTCCATATTGCCCGACAATTCTACCGTGTTGAGTGTAGACTCCTCAGCCGTCACCCATTTACTCGTTAGTGCTTCTTCAGCTGTAATTCTCTCTCGTGGATCTATAGTCAACATCTGTTGGATCAAACTTTTGGCGTCTTTGGATACATGGCTCCAGTAGCGCTTGTGAAACTTGTATTCTCCGTATCGGATTTGTTTCATTACTTCCTCCCCTTCTCCTCGGAATGGACGGTACCCACCGAGGACGATGTAGATGACAACACCAACACTCCACATATCACAAGCAATGTCATAGGCAGGTCTGTGTTCAAGGATCTCAGGGGCAACATATCCCTCAGTACCACACTGTGTTCGCAGGGAGTTCGGGTAAGTCACCGTCTTGGCGTAACCAAAGTCACTGATCTTGACATCTGTGTCACTTCCCGCTTTCAGCAATAAACTTTCAGGCTTGAGGTTGCGATTAGCAATCTTGAATTTATGGCAGTGGGCAACACCCATAATCAGTTTTCTGCTAACTTCCTTGGCGTCGTATTCCGTGTAGTGACGCTTTTCAATAATCCGATCAATCAAGTCACCACCTCCCATGATTTCCAAAACCATGACAGTATTATCCGGCTCGTCGTAAACGTCATAAAGCTTGACGACATGTTCAGAGCCGGCAACTTTTCGCAATGCGGCGATCTCGTCGTGCAAGGCCACTGCATCACTTGGGTGCAAGTCCTTCCGCGTAACCTTCTTGGCTGCGTAAAGCTTGCCGGACTCTTTGCTCGTGACCTCGTGAACTGCAGAGAATGTTCCAATACCAATCTGCTCCCCCCAAGTATAATTGTTATCAAAGCTTTCATCTTCTTCCAGTATCGATTGGTCCTTTGAGCAAATGAAAATGGTGTGTTAGTAATGGTAATTTCTGAAGTCCAAACCAAACAAGAGCACAGTGCCACCAAGGTCAGACTTACAACTGAATGCCTGCTTGAAATTTGTAGATCCTTTTTCATACCAGCAATAGACATGAATTTGTTCCTTGCAATAATCTGACAAAAAGCAAGAATTGTGAGTACTTGTTCAATAGCAAATCAATCGACAAGACCAATAGCAACTCACCGTTTGGACTGCCATCTTCACCTTGTTTTTGGGGCCCAACTTGTCCAACATTTGGCTTTGCACCTTGGACAAGTCTCGCAAAACTAACTGCTCTTCCTCACTGGCCATCCATTCACAGGCAAGTGCGTCAGCAGCTGTAGTACGCTTCTTTGGATCAACAACAAGTAAAGATCGGATCATGTCCTTGGCACTAGACGAGACCTCCGTCCAGTACTCGTCGTGGAAATTGTAATCTGCAGTCTTGATTTCGTTGGCAAGGTCACCAGTGATTCCTTCGAATGGAGGATAGCCACCAAGCAGTACAAAAGTAAAGACACCTAATGACCAATTGTCACATCGTTCGTCGTATCCCGCACTGTTGTCGTCCAGAATTTCGGGAGCCACGTATTGCGCTGTACCACACAGAGTCAGCAGTGAATTCTCTCTAGCGCACCTCTTGGCAAAGGCAAAATCTGCCAGCTTGACACTGGTATCGTCTCCTTCTTGGACCAATAGGAAATTCTCTGGCTTGACGTCACGGTGGGCCACCTTTTTCATATGACAATAGTTAATGGCAGTAAATGCAATCTTGCAGACTTGTTGAGCCTCACGCTCTGTGTAGACTTCCTTTTCGACAATTCTTGATAGAAGGTTTCCACCAGTCATTTCTTCAAAAACAAAGTAAACACTCTCGGGTTCTTGAAAGACATCAAAGAGCCGAACAATGTGAGGACCACCTCGAAGGAGCCGCAGTGCTTTGACTTCGTCGCGAATGGTTTGTTTAGATTCGTCGTCCAATGGAAGAAGATCCACATGCTTGACAGCGTACGATTGTTGGGTTTGCTTCCGCGTTGCTCGATAAATGTATGAATGCTCACCCTCCCCGAGTTTTTCTCCCAACAAGAAAAAGTTGGTGAATGGTTTTCCCGAGGGACTATCTTCGACATAGCGCTTGTGACCCGTGCGTGTGCTGCTGGTCATGTAAGAGAAATGTGAGACAATCGATTCTCCTCGGCGCTTTTCCATGTATACGGTAAAGTCGTCGTTCAGCTGTTGGAATCGGTTGGCCGCCACGAGCTGTCATGGAAAAAAGGAAATGATTCAGTTAGACATGAATAAAATCGGACAAAAACAAAAACACTTGACCCCAAAGAACAAAGAAACATACCGTCTTGACTGCCGCCTTCATCTTTCGTCTTGCTTGCACCATAACCTTGAGCTTTCCCACATCGACTTGGTGAGTGGCCAATTCCGATCCACCGACACTCATCCATCCGTGTTGCAATGCCGAGGTAGCACTAGCTCGCTTGTTGGGATTGATGGTCAAGCATTGCGAGACCAAGTCCTTGGCGCCGTTGGAAATGTGCCGCCAGAACTTTGGTCGAAAGTCATATTGTCCATTTCTCGTTCGATCAAAGACGAGTTGTTCGTCGTCCGCATCAAAGGGTAAGTATCCACCGAGCAATAAGAAAAGAATTACACCCACACTCCAAATATCACACTTGACATCATAGGCAGGCCACCGCTCTAGAATTTCCGGAGCTAGGTATCCAGGTGTACCACAGAGTGTCCGACAGCCATTCTTTTTGGCCACAGCCTTTGCAAATCCAAAATCGGCCAGCTTTACCGGCAGCAACGACTCTCGACTGGCCAACAGCAAGTTCTCTGGCTTTAGATCACGATGCGCCACTCGTTGGTTGTGCATATACTCCAAAGCACTCAGGACACACTGGCAACAACTTCTCGCTTCCTCTTCGGTAAAGGTTTTCTTTTCAATGATTCGATCAAACAGTTCTCCCCCCGTCATCAATTCCGTCACGAGGTACGAAAATGTTTTTTCTTCGAACACTTCGTAAAGTTGTACAATATTGGGTCCGGCCCGCACCATTTTCATATTATCAATTTCATCCTTCAAAGCGTCCCGTTGACCCCACATCATTTTGGATCGATTCACTTGTTTGATAGCATATTGTTTCCCCGTTGGCTTATGGATACCAATAAAGACATCGGCAAATGCACCATAACCCAACTAATGATGACATTGAACAAGAGTGGGGGAAATGAGTGGTGAGAAGAATGAATGAATGAATGAATGAATGAATGAGTACTCATTCCAAACAATAGCATGCAAATACCAATACAAATAGATGTCAATCTGGCAAACCATCAAAAGAAAAAATGCGTACCTTCTTGCCCCGCTTGTAGACATCCCCAAACTTGCGTCCTGAAACACTGCGCATGGCCGTGTCGAGACTAGGAGCCACGGAAAAGTCGTCATCGTCCAATATGGTTGGCTGGGGCTTGAAATTGCCCCTCGGTGCTCCGCCCGGTCCGGTCTTTGGTTTTTCTGTATTCTTGTTTTTGAGGGCTGGTGCTGGTGCCGGTGCTGCCGCTGGAGGCGCGGACGTCGTCTCTGGTGGTGATGGTGGTGCCGCAGGTGGATCCTGGCCCTTTGATGGCAGTGGAGGCGCTGGTACAGCTGCAGGCGCCGGAGGACTAGGTTTGTCCGTTGTCTGTGCAGTAACAGCGGGATTATTATAAAACGATGTAGACGAGGGAGGAGCCACAAATTCACTCTTTCGGCCTGATTTGATCCCCGAAGGACTTTTCATCAAACTCCCTTGACTACTTCCCCTTTGAGAGGAAGCTTCTCTGGATGGCACTTTGGGTGATCGAGGTGAGAGTGGTTGTTCTATGTGCGATTGTGAATTTTGTCTAGGAGATTGTGGAATTTGTTGTGGATCGTCACTTGATGGCTGTGATGCTGCTGCTGCTGCTGACCGTGCGGAATCCTTTTGTTGTGAGGACCTTGCTGAATTTTGTGGTGTGTTACTCTTCAGTTCTCCTGATCTCGTAGAGTCTTTTTGCAGTTGTGCAGACTGAGATTCCTTGGCCCCATCAAAGAAATTGGCAGCTATTGCATCATCTTGTTTGGATTGGCCGCATCCCATCTTTTGAATTTATGTCGAGAAGTTATCAATATTTCGTTGTTGTATGGATTGGAATGTTATGTTATGTTTGTTGCTTGGATTGTCTGTATCTATCATATACGATATCTTCACTGCTGAATGGATGATGCGAAACTCTTGTGTAGTTGACAACTGTGTGTGTATGATAGGAAGGAATCTATATACCGATGAGGAAACTGGTCTCTCTTCCTTCAGGGTCCAAAACTGTTCTCACTTCCCACTTTGAACTTTCCACTTTCCAAGCACAAGCAAAACCTTTTGGTTTTTCTTGCGGCCTTCTATTTTTTTCGGGCTGTATCATTCGTTCGACTCGACTAATTGGATACCGGTGCGACATTCGGAGCCAAATTTCGAACGCGCCCGCCGAGCCGACTCAAATTTGGAAATCCAAAAAAGGCAAAACCAAAACAACGGTCTATCATCACAAATCCAAACCGCTTGGACTATTTGAAAGCAATCGCACACAGCGTTCGTTGCTACAAAGCCTATTACTTGCTCTACTATCATTCTTTCTACTTGCCAATGATCATGAATCGTATCATCAAAACTCTCGTTTCTCTTTTGATGGTTACCGTTGCTGCATCCACCAAGAACATGATGATTAGCGTTGAAGCCGAACCTCTTCGTCGCATCCCGGTCAACATGGACAGGACCGATCTTCAGGGAAATCGTACTCCTCGTGATTATCATCGCTTGACCAAGAAGAAGGGTAGCATCCTTGCTGCCAAGAGCCCCACCACCTCTGCCAAGACTGCCAAGAAGGCTGCTCAAAAGTTGATCAAGAAATCTCGTATCCCGGCGACAGGTGATTTCAAACCTCACACTCCACGTCTCGAGGTACCAGTTCCTACCTACATTTCCTTCATTCCTGCACCAGTTGTTTCGCATGAGTTGGATGACACTTTCAAGTCTTCCAACGTGCCATCGGACGAACCATCTTTGGTTCCTACCTTCTCCTCTTCGTGGGTGGAAGAACCAACCACGGTTTTTCCCAGCAACGACAGAGGTGCAAAAGTAACGGCCCATCCCAGTCACGCTCCCACTACAGCAACTCCCTCCCAGATATATCCCAACACTTCGGAAATTCCTTCCGACGGACCGTCTTTGGTTCCAACAACAATCATGATTGAGGAAAATATTCCAACGGCGGTTTTACACGCCAACAACGACCTTGATGGAGAAGCAACGGCTCCTCCGAGCTTGACACCAAAACTCAATCGACCATTTGATATCTTGCCCACTCAGAGACGATCGCTAGGAGAGTATACCCTCCCTCCTGCCGATCAGAGACCCATCTATATTCCATGTGTCGAAGTTTCCAACGCACCGACATCTATCGGATCCGCAAGTGAAGCACCATCCAGCGCAGATGCGTCGTCAATGACGACTGCAGTAAAATGTGTTGATGGCATTATAGCTGAACCGACAAGCACTGGCATATCTCCACCTGGCGCACTATTCTTTTACGTGTGTCTCTGCGTTTTGATTATTGGGTATGCAACTTTGATTACAAAACAATCCAGAGCGAATAAGCCTCGAGAGGCGTCGGAGAGCCAAGAAGGCCAGTTTGTCAACAATTGAGGATGGAAATGTGACGCAACTTGACCCACGGGATACCATACTGTATAATCATAGTAACATCTTCATTTGATGTTCATTAGCGGTTGCCATATTGTACAGTACCGTCCGTTCGTGTAGGCAATCAGAAGTGTGATTGTTGATCTGCTTAGCTTTCATATAAAATTATAAAAGGGAAGAAAAACATATGTCACACCCTGTCGCATGAGACATTTGGATTTATCGGAACAAGACACCCATACTGGTATCACTCACAAAATGGATGTGATCACTCACTCACCGTGATGATCATCCACGAACCAAGGTAGGTTTGCAACCAAGCGAAACGTGAGGAGTCCCACAAATCTCATATATAACAACAGCAGCAGCTGCAACAGCACCAACAACCGCAAGCAATCACTACTATGCATCAAGCCAAGAAACAATTTTTTCAAACAAGCATTGGACTGGGAAGCATGGTGATGGAATCATCATCATCATCATCATCATCATTATCACCAGGAACCTCCTCATCCGCGCCCACCACTCCCACCAAAACATTAGCTTCCAATCTCACTAACGATGACGATGACGAACACGGAAGGCCTAGCTTTCACCGTAGGAATACCATGGTCCGAGGAAATGGCCGAACACGCCGGTGTCCCCCCCAAGAGCCTCCTCTTTATTATATCAATGATAATGATAATAATAATAATAGTACTGTGGCAAAGACTCCTCGACGGGGAGAAGCCGATGAGGATTTCGAACCACCCTTGACACCGCCGACCAGAACGAAATCGGTGGTGGCAAGCAGTAGACTAATGGAATTTTAGTAAGCGGTCATTGCAACGAGTTTATTCGAAGAGCCAATCAACAGTACCTGGTAGTATCGACTGCATTTACAATATAAAATTTCGTTCTCCGTGATCTAATCAATTAATTCATTGGATATACTCGTTCTCCATTTGGTCCCAGGTTCGTCCAGTGGCAACTTTTCTTCCGCCCCTTGTACAGATACCGTAACTCGCATGTCGAATTGTATCCCATCATCAGGGCGTATCGCCCAAAGCCACCACGGCCAAATGCCACGCACCGTCCATTCCCCATGAGATACAAGTCCACAAAGATGGAATAAAACTCGGAAACGTTTCGACCTTCCCATTCTTTTTCAATATGCACTGGTTCTGGACCGTCAAAGGCTACAATGGTGCGGTTGTGTTCCTTCCCATAGGAGACGGCAGCTTGGACTGCCACCCTGGAATCGGACGCAAAGTAGATTGGACCTCCTGGTCGAAGTTCAGATCCACAATTGGCCACATTGATGGCGTCTTTTTGCAAGAGTTCGTCCGAGAAAATGTCCTTTTTGTCTTCTTTGGCATAAAAGGCCCGATAATGTGCAATGGAATATTCTCCGGGTATCAGGTTGTGCTTTTTCATTTGTTCGTCAATCAAGACTGATACTGGCGGTGATGGTTCAAAAAGGTACCGAAACAAATCATGATAAATCAAATGATATCGATCGTTATGCGTCTTTTTCATGTCTGCAGCAGGAGCCTTGTTGTTGACAGTTTCATCATCCGCGTCCTGCTGTTCATAGGTCGCCGCAATCAGTCCGTCGTAAATAAAGCTCCCACCATGAAAGTCTTGCAACTGTGTGTACACGGCCGTCGTACCATCTTCTCCCAAATGGGTCAGGGCCTTTTCACCTCGTTTCAGCGTTTGATCAATCTCGTGATGGTCGATTTTCTGAACCATCCATTCGGGCATGGACCAGTTCGCACCCTGCATTGGTGGTTGCAAGAATTTTTCCAAGGCGGCGGGCTTGTCCCAATGAATCAAAAATATTCGTTGAGTCCGATTGGCAATTAGAATAAACAGTGGCAATGGTTTCATACGATCGGACAATCCACCGCAACGATGCCTTTTCCGGCATCCTAAAATGAGGTACTTGTTCTTGTTCCAAGTTTCTGGTGTGAGTTGACTTCTTTGTTGCTTGTGCCATGTGAAATATTCCTGCATCCATTTTGGTAAATGAAGAAAGTGGTCCTCGGCTGATAGTGCTGCTGCTGCCGATGAGGAAGCTCCTATTCGTTCGTGGACGGCAGCATGATGCGGCGATGAGATAAAGGAGGAATACGAGGAGGATGCTGATGCGGTAAATGCTTCCGAAAGATTCATGAACGATTCCAGACTTCCAGCCAAAGGAGTTGTATTATGAAGACTGATGATGTGTGAATTGAGGAAAAATACTCGTACGGAGAAATACCCAATGGTAATCACATAAACGACCTTTACCAAACAGGCGCCAAGGTTCCATTTTCGTTGTGGCTTTTTCAACTCCTTGACCACCATGGCTACAATCACAAGAAGAGGCTCTTCAGCAGATATCCATGCGTATGAGTCTGGTTGGGCAGTGCAGTATTTACTATCTTCTACGGTATATGGATGGAGAGACCATGGACAGCTAATCGTAGTCGTTGTTGTCTTTTTGAAAAATGCGATTATACTGTACAGTATGTTTTGTATTTGGAGTTTCAAGATTTCAAACTGAATCGCATTGGTCAAATTTCTCATCGTTCACCGCACAGTCTTTAAACCTCGACCTCCAACGCTTGACTATCACCGCAGTAATATTCCTTGAACAACATCGAAGACATCGCCATCTCTATCCGTCGATGAGGTAGCTGCGTATGACCGACGACGTTGCAGCGTTCTCCCATCGCTGTATCCTCTACTGTAGCGCTTTCTAGTACCGTTGATGCCTTGTTCAATCACACCCCTCCTGGCTCCAACAAAAGCTCGAGCAGCTGGAGTTCAATTTTTCGGTCGATTTCTTCAATGGGGAGGGGAGAAACGTTTTATTACGTCAGCCGTGCAGTCTACCTACTAAAAGAAGTCAGAAGTCACACGCGACTGCCTATCTGCGTTACAAAAAGACACCCAGAGAACACCCAAGCGCGTTTGGGTGATGAAGCTGTGCAGCATTGTCCATGATATCCTTGCGAATTTCTTCACGCGACTGTGTAGGTGCTGTGCAGCATTGCAGTACACTGCTATCTGTCACGTGAGAAGAAACAGAATGAGAGGCACCAACCTTTCAGTTTTTGCCTTTCCCAGACCTTGTCTTCCAATTCTCACTTTTTCAGTTTGAAGCAAAACAAATCCGAAAAAAAGGTCCAACATGAAGCTCTCTATCGCTCTATCTCTCCTTGGTTGCTCCTTCTTCTTCAATGAAGTAGAAGCTGCGGTAAGCACCTGGTACTTTGCTTCCAGAATGTATGCTACGAAATAAGACCGAAACTAACAGCCTTTTTCGCAAATCGAACTTTCCACCCGCAGCGTCCGCAAAATCCTGGCAACCAAGGCAATGGCAATGGCAATGGCAACCAAGGCAATGGCAATGGCAATGGCAACCAAGTTACTGACAACCAAGGCAACGCCGCTTGTGGCAACAACAAGAGCTACCTCTGTCACCATGATGAGGGCACAAACGCCTACAAGACCCTGTGCATTTCAGATAATGCGATCAACGCTCAACTTAGGAGTAACGAGCGAAACTACCTAGGGCAATGCATCGGCGATTTGTTCTTGGAACGAGCCGTTTTCATGGACTTGGAGCCGATGGAGGGAGTAGAAGAGATTGATGGCGACGATGGTGTATCCTATCAAGTCACTTACAATGTCACCATGCTCGAGGAAGGCATCGTTTCGCTCGGCGCGGCTGCGGACTTGATCACTAGCGTGACATGCTTCAACGATACAATTAACGTTGAATTCAAGCAGATCCCGTCCCCTGACCAGATCGAGTTCATGTTTCCTGATTTCGCCTTGGTTGTGTTTGATGGTAACACTTTCCCAGACATGGAGTGCAAGCTCCCAAACCAAGACGAAGACCCTGATTTGAATAGCTCTTTCTTCCTTATTGCAGGAGTCGAAGCCGCCGAAGACAAGACCGTCACTGTCAGGGGATTGCCAGCCAGCTTTCACCACATGTTCGACAACCAAGACCTTCTATTTACACCAATCGAGGCGCGCAGGAACCTTCGCAACCTCCGCTTGGCCGAATTTGACATTAGCAAGAGCTTCGATGGCTCGTTTCAGATTCCAGAAGGCGACGACGAGAAGGTCCAACTATCTGCATATGCAAAGGCCAGCATCGACGCCAGCTCCAACGGTCTTTATTTCAAAACCGCACTAAGAAAGCAGAAGTGCAAGCGAAGGGGATGGTTGCGCCGCTTGAGATGCCTCGTCGATTACAAGCTGGAGGTGGACAGCAGCTATAGCGCTGCATTCGACCTGACTGCGTACCTGAAAGCAAGCTTTGTTGCCAAAGACAGTTTGGAACTACTCAACGGGGACAATAGATTCCCCTTCCTGTCGTTCCCGATTTATGGCTTGGGATTCAAATTGCCTCGGTGGATTGCAAGTGTAGTCAAGAAGATCATCCCTGGAATTCAACGAGAGTACTACCTTGGAGTTAAAGCAGATATTCCAGCTGTCATAAAATATGGGCTGAACGTCGACTATGATGTGAAGATAGATGCCGAGGCCAGCATCGCCACCGGGAAGAAGGAAGTTGTTTGGGCGTTGAACGGCGTTGTCTTTGGAGGCCTGGACTCAACCTTCGATGTAAACGAACTCGAGCCATCAAAGTCTTCCGACATCAAGTTCGCAACCGACCTTGATACAGATATTAATGTCAAGGTCGAGGGTATTCTTTCCGGAGGTCTTGAACCTCAGATTGTCGTCGATATCATTGGTAAGCCATCATCGATGAGAATGAATCCACCTTCCATCCTCCTTCGAACTCACACTGCGCTCTTGAACTTTTTTTCTAGGCTTGGCAACAGGGATCGTCGGTCTATTCACTGGCTTTGACCTCGAAGGGGAGTTCAACACGGCCCCAATGGAGCCTGTCGTATCTGAGTCTGGATTTCCCTTCATCTTCAACTGTGAAGAATGCCATCTGGCCGCATTGAAGTTTGAAGCGACTGCCAAAAACCCTTTCTTTAGGTGGAAGCTTATCGGAAAAGACGAAGAAAACAAACCTTTATTTGGCGACTGGAGCTTGGACTTTTTGATTGCCCAGCTCTGTCTACTCAACGCAGAGGAGAAGACCTGCGATGACAGCTGCTGCGGCAACAGGGAGGTTTGCATTCTCGATGCCCTTTCCAACGAAGGCAGCTGTTGCAATACCGAAGCAGTTGGAGCACAGTGTTGCCGCGACGAAGATTGTGGCAATGGAGCCACACACTATTGCGATGGTGATCAACAGTGCGTCCTCCGCAATTGCGACGCCGCCAACGCCGACATCGAATGCTGTGCCAGCAGCGACTGCAACTCAGGAACTCAGCTCTGTGTTTCCAATATTTGCATCGAACAGGGCAACCCAGGTTTCGCTCTGAGCTGGTGCGGAAGAGACGATCTCGATCTCCATGTCATCACTCCGGCTGGTGACGAGATTGATTATCAGAACACAATCGATCAATTGACTGGAGGGAACCTAGACAAGGATGACATTCCACAAGAGGAAGGATGTTATGTTGAAAACATTGTGTTCCCCTCTGGCGCGCCGAAAGGAGACTATGTCTTCTTTGTGGACAGCTACACCCAAATTCTGGGAGCCGACAATTGGACTGTCCGTGTTTATCTTGGAGACCAGGAACAAGCTGTCCAGTCAGGAACAGAAGACAGTGAGCGATTTGTCTACACCTTGGCGTAATCGAAATGCAGATTGGCGAACTGTTTTGCAATTACATATATATATATCTGTTGCGTGGTCAAGATGTACCTTGATCTTTCATATCAAGGGAACTTGAACCAAATAGTGATACGCATTACTTTCTAAAATAGGAATTCGATCAAAGATTAGCAATGGGTCTACCATACTATATATACAGTAGTCTATAGTCCTTCGTACAGTACGTGTTTGCGGAAAGTTCGGAGGGAGAGTTGTATTGCCACCTAGATGTACGCCAACTGCAATATCACGAAATCAAGTTCAAAGTGTCGTTTTGTACACTGTATAGAGGCAAGCAAAACCTTCATTGTCATGTTTTGTAGGAATCGGACAGATCGAAATAATGCCAGGCAGACGAACGAAGCGAACAACGACGGACACCAGCATTTCGGGTCCGGTTTTGATTCTCTCATAAATCAAAACGTATCCAAAAATGAAACTGTTGCTTCAACTTTGTTCGTCACTCTTGTTGGCTTGGTCCTTGAGAGTATCATCCTTCTGCATTTCTGATGTATCAACATCATGTAGAGCTCCCCAGTATCGAAAGTCCCATTCTTCGACCAGTTTAAACATCATTGGGGCCGAAACCATTGGCATCGCCCTTGTATCTGCGGCAGCGGGGGCCGCAGCTCGGCAACCCGAGATCAATTCCATGCAAGTGGAACTTATTGAAGCTAGGAAGAAGGTGGAAGATTCCAAGGAGCAAGTCGCCAAAAAGATTGAAGAGCTGGAAGAGAAACTCTTTGAGGTTGATCGCGCCTACGAAGTTGAATCTGCCAAATTCCAGAAGGAATTTGAAAAGCGCAAGGAAAAGGAGGTCGCCATTATCACTGAAAAGATCAAGACAGACATGAAATTCAAGTTGGATATTGAAATCGAGAAGGAAAAGTCGAAACTCTTGTCCGAAAAGCTCAAGAAGGTCAAAAAAGAGGGCGAAGAATCGTCGGAAATTGCCCAACTGAAGATGCAACAACAGAACTTGAAATCAGCAAAGGAAAAGCTTGAGCTTGCCCTCCAAAGCTCAGAAGAAAAGATGAAGAATATGGAAACTCCTAAGGCTAACAGGCTTTGGCCGTTTTGAGTGCTTTTGGATGGGGATGGGATGTGACAACTTGAAACGCTATCGAAGAAGAAAACTGTCTTGCCTTCTTTCCAAGATCGCACTTTTGTTCACTGCATTTGTCTCCCACCCTCATTTCTCGCACATGTACCATTTAAATTCCACAGTCGTTGACAACAATGCACTCGTATATCGTTTTGACGGACGCCCAACCAAGCACACAATCCGCGTCGTTCAAAAGAATCGCACAGCAACTCTCTCTCTCTCTCTCTCTCTCTCTCTCTCTCCCTCTGCAGGACAATCATGTAACATAATTGACGCCGCCCATTGTCTACTCACACAAAGAGATTCAGAAGGAATCAAATCAAACAAACAAATATGCCAACGCAGAGACAATACACGACACACACAACTACCGTAGACATACTGCTAGGCAAAATATTATCACGCGACACTTTCATACGAAACACACCATGCCAAACTAGTCGTTGCGTTAATCGTAACATGTGGCCAAGATATTTAGCTTGTTATGTACCGGCATGGCACTGTAAAGGTAGTCAGCTTGGCTAGGCTACATACCGGTACATACAGTACCGGTACTGTGTTGAAGTGTTCATATTTTGCCTCATTCGTGACTCATTTGAAATGTGACTGACACAAACGCCTCATCATCAAGAGTAAAATCATCACGAAAATCGTTCACGAACAGTGTCACTTACACAGGTAGAAGAAGAGCTGCTAGTGTTGATCAGACACTAGAGTAGCTCGGTAGAAGGAAACTTTCGACCCCACACTACTGCACACACATGAATCAAACTACCAGTACATTACCTTCGGCTCGAATACGGAGGAGACATTTGCGATTCTCACCGTCTCGCTTGCGGCAGCGTTTTCGGGGCTATGACAGAGCCATCTTTTTCAGCGTATGGGTATTGGCGGGCCTCTCGACCTATGGATTGGTTTGGACTTCCTTTTGGTATCCAACTTCTCGAGTTGCTGAAAATACAGCCAAATCGGTCTTGGAAGAGGATGCTTCATTCTTCTTTTCTTCTCTTTCGAATTCGAAACAGACATTTCATACGCATAAACAGAAGAAGATGAAGAAAGACGTAACATCCAAGCGACTGCGAAAAGAGAGTTCAGTAAGGCTGAAGAAGTATATGGAAGACACAGAGAATGAGTTCACTACCATCGGCTTTTGGATAATATTCATATTGTGGTGCTATCAGAAAATTAAGGACTGGTTCCCAATTTCCACATTACCATCCACTATCACGGAACGTCAACCAACAAGGTCGACATCACCTTCCACTCCACCGTCGCAGACGACAACGATGCAGATTCGAAGGATTCATCGAGAAGTCATTGTGCGAACGTTACAACGCATCAATCGAGAACGACAAGAACGAGATGAGGGGTTGATCTCTGTTGAAGCGATTGAAGCATTTCAAAATGCCCTGCTCCAAGATCAAGTGGTATTTGAAGGGTTGCCAGAGCAAGGAGAGGGAACAGAGCAAAGAAATCTGGGGGCAACACAAGAAGAGATTGATGCTTGCGTGAAGCGATTACCGAACGAACACGACAACGATTGCGAATGCATCATTTGTTTGACCGAACTTGATTCTTCAGAAAGGAAGGAAATGTTGAGAGTCCTGCCGTGCAATCATACCTTTCACGCTTGCTGCATTGACAAGTGGTTTGCAAAGTCGACTAAATGTCCGATTTGCAAGGCTTCGATTCGAAAAGAGGATGCTTCGTCATGACCTGAATGATCCGAATCATATGGGAAAAAACATTCATCAATTAGCTTTTACTATGTCTGGTTATGGTTACGTTTGCGGTAGCGCAGGTAGCTATGTGCAACACAATCCCTTCGCTTAATGGAGAGAAGGCTGCGGTTGACATGAAAGTCGCTCCAGCGCTTACATGTATGACTTCTGTCCAGGCTTATTTTGCTCTGTTACGAGTCTCTCAATTTCATCAGGATTGCTGTAATCGGGAAGTGCAAATGATTTTCGGACAAGACTGTTTGTAGAAGAGTTCACACGCTTGAAATACTTGCTCTCCCGGACCTTCTCATTGAACTTCTTGTTCATGTGCATGGAAATGATGAATCCAACGATCAAACCTAGAAGGATACACAATAAGCCAATCAGAACAATAGTCGATGTACTGGGCCCGCTGTAGACAATCTCCTGTTGGTATTCGTCATCGTCCCAGCCGAATTCGTCATCATCTGTGACGGTGCGGTTGATTTCGACCAGCATAGTAATGCCTCCAAAATCGCAAGTGGCACCTTCTCCTTTGTGATCCTCAAAATAGTTTTCGATTAACTCTCCAGCACTCGAACGAAGTTCTGGTCCAGTGAGTGTAAGTATGTCTAGCCTGCTGGTATCATCATCAGCAGTGCCAGTTTCATTGTTTGCATCCAGAATGTAGGAAATAGCCTCCCTGATGGCCTCTTCTGCGATATTATGCTTCAAAGAACACTTGAATTCAAATTTGTCCTCTGCCTGGCATGCGTTTTGGATCCGTTCATCGTTGAGGTTTCCCTTTGGGATCCATCCCTTCTCCAATGCCAGCATGTACGACCATCTTGGTTCCGCAACGTCAGTGCGGAAATTCCAAAAGTAGAATCCGTGTCCGATACCCGAAAAGGCATTGATTTTCTTGTATGCCAAGTGCGTCATGACATTGTCGCTATCGTCCAAATGACTTGGAGCATCTGGAGGAGCTCGTACCCAATCTCGACCAGTTTGGGGATTACCCGAAGATTCCTTGAGCCAATCCCTATCGACTGGGCAATATCCGAAAATGGGTCCACTCATACCAGAACCGTAAGGACCTTGAATTGGTTTGGTGTTATCCACTGGGGCACCAGGCTGCTCACGTCCCATGTAAGGTTCTGAACATGGAATGTACTTGCAGGGAAGACGTGGAAATCCAGGCAAGTTGTCATTGAATCCATTCAACCACATGGCACAGTTGTCGGTTGCGAGACTCCATTCTCCGACAACGACTGGGCCAAACTCGCGCTCCATGGCCGCAATTTTATCCTTTTGTTGGCAAGCATCAACGTAGAATCCAACACGGGAGTCTGGGTCTCTCCAAGCTTGATAGATGTGCGTATCGAGGGCACGTTCGGGGCAGCCATCCATGAAACCACCCCAAACAGAAGTATCAAAACGGAAAGAGTCGTGCATGATGTACTTCCAGTAGGGTGCTGCTTTCTTGACAATCAAGTATCCTTCCCAATAGAATTGTTTGAGTTCTTTGATGGGAGTGTATTGCCAAGGCTCGTTGACGGGTTCAATGCCAAGAACTGCGGGGTGTCCACTGTATCGATCCACAATCTCCGAAACCACATCCAGTGCATGTTTGATATTCTGCCGGTTGATGACAGGATAACTGGCCGTGTCTGGATCAAATTCTCCAATCCAACGAGCGGAACGAATGGGCCAGTGCTCAAAGGAAACATCTCCAGCGAATTCAGAGTTCAGTGCAGTAGTCCATTTGAAACCCATCGCTTGTCCGGAATTGTCAAAACCATTTTGACTGTCCTTGAGAGTATGAACCTACGCAATAATAATGTAATTGTTCATATGCAGCAGGATGAGTGACACGATTGAATAAACAATACGCAATACAACACAGAAGCAAGCAAGTAAATCTTACATCAAATAAGACCGTCAATCCACTCTCATAGGCCCAATCAAGCAACTCGTCAACCTTTTCCAGTGCACCATCGAAGCATCCATCTGCAGGATTACATGACATGACGTGGTTTTGTTAGTATCAATGGTCAGACATATACAAACACACCAATGCAGGCAACTATAACATTGCTCACCATAAGGCCCATAGGACTTGTACATGTAATCTCCGACCGGCAATCGTAAGGAATTGACAGCCCCAGAATCGGCCAACTCTTGAATAATTTCTCGTGTCACCCAAGTATCCCAATGTCTTCGTAGCTGCTCATTGGCTTCCGCTGCTCCCAAGACTTGGCAGAAGGTATAAGTATCAAAGGCAGCCGTTCCCTCACCTTTGCCAAGAAACTGATAGAACATGGAGGGTGTGATCCATGGTTCCAAGACCATCCATCCACCCAAGTTGACTCCACGAATCTGGTTGTTGAAGGGACGTGCATGGACATCCCCAATACAGGTTTGAGTATCATTTAAAGCAATGAAATGCTTGAACTGAGTCCCATTTTTGGGCGTGGATGCTGTGCCATCTTGCGTTGTGGTGTCGCCGTTGGCAGGAGAATGCCACAACGATGCCACGAGGAGGAGGCTTGTGATCAGAGAGCGCATTGTAGTCGTAACAATGTTTGATCAGGAGGGATGCAAAATTGTTTGACTGGTAATGGCAATTTTATGGATCTATTTGCAATCGATGAATGACTGATCGCTGATCGGGGGCAGTTTAAATGTTGGTGCCACACTTGTTGCAATTGCGGGATTTGATGGCTTTTGAAGATCTGACAGATGCCTGAATTCTCCCATTTTCTTCTCTTCCGTGTGATCGCAGGACAGACGTCGGCAGTATTGGTGCTCTCCGCTTCTTTGTTCCTCCAAATCTATTTTGTCGAACGGTTCTTTTTGTTCGACAAAAAATGGTGAAAAGGCGTCTGCAACAATTTCTCAACAAGACGAGACACAAGATTGGAACCGGTTCTGATTTGATTGAAGAGAGTTGAATCAACGAGGTATCTTCCATTAGACGATATAGAAGTCAAAAGAGAACGAATCACTCAATTAATCATCCCTTGAAGCTACTACCTATTGAAGAAACAAACAAACAAACAAACACAACAAACACAACAAAATGGTGAAACAAAACATTCGCTATGACACGGAAGTCAGACAGATTGGTGGAATCATGATGGCACTCGCCATGTCGCTCGTATTCTACCCATTATTTGATACCAGCACTCGGCTCTCGGTAAATTTTCCAGACAACGACCTGTACAACGGTGACGAAGAGTCATTGAGCTGGGCTTTGCTTGCTGGAAATGTTGCCATTATTGTGCTTGGTTTGTTGGGAATGGCAATCGGTTTCATGGCTCTGACAGATTTTGGACACAAGTACATTACCCTCGTCGGATTGGTTTGGCAACAGACTGCGTTTGTGGATTGGATTGCCAAGATGTACGAGCTTTCTGTAACCATGGGAATTGGCGAAAACGCCTCTAGTACGACCGACTTCTACTTTTCCATGGGAATTCTTAAAATGTTCTTTCTCAAATTCATGCAATATGGATCTTTGGCAGTTATGATGTTCACTTTATTCACATTTCAATCTCGAAAGGGACATACCAAGAATGCGAGTTACTACCGCAAGCGCTTGGTGTTCTACTCCTTTTTGTATGCCGCCAATGGAATCTTTGGATACTTGGTTCCTGGAGCCAAAATATATCTCGATAACAAAGATGATCTCCCAGTCAAGAAACCAATCGAACCACTCGTTATCTTTGTGGGACAACCAGTCACTGTCCCAGAAATCACATTGGCCGCTGGTGCAATCTTTGCGTTGGTGGGCATTTACGGAATGGCACGAGGATTAGGTTTGGCCCAAAATGACAATACCTACCTACAAGCTGCCCTGCCGGTTGCCTACATTGCTTATTTAGGTGCCGTCGTCCTGACGGAATTTTCCATCGGTGGACGACCGGAAGGTGCCATGACCGCCGGAGTAGAGGCCATAAATGGTCACATTATTCTATCCTTTTTGGACCACAAGGCCAAAACAATGCCAGAAACAATGGACGAAGACTATTTCCATGACGATGCCATAGTGACCAAGTTTGGTCAAGAACGCGAGAAGAAGCTGAAGAAGGAAAAAGAGGAGGAAACAGTGGAGGCAGAAGGAATGGCGTAAGGAATGATGGTATGATGGAATAATGCACATTACTAGTGACGATTGCATTTGCAACAACATCAAACAACAACAACAACAAGACACAACACCTTTAGAAAGAAGACAACAATTGGGGAGATAGTTGGTGAATGAATGGATGAATCAATCAATCAATCAATCAATCAATTTTCGTAATAATATTTTTACTACGTAGTCCTATGATAAAGATATATAAAATATATACAATCGATCACGACTGTATCCCCGAATTCCGATTTGAATCTACTTGCCCTTGTGATACGGGCGCATTTAGCATGCAGTATTCTCATCGAAGGCGCCCCATCAGTCGTGATCGTGCGGTAGACTTGGTTCCCTGTTTTCCTTTATTCTTTCCCCTGCTGCTGCTGCTGCTGCTATTGCTGCTGTTTGGCATCCCCTTTGCCTTTTTCGTTTTGTTATTATTGGTAGATGATGATGGCATCCATTCATCGTCAGGCACTGGTCCCTCATCGAACCATTCCGTATCCTCACGAACTCGTTTGACTGTTACTTTTGGCTTTGTTGGTGCTGCGACCTTGGCGGAGAAAATCGTGCTGGACGACAAGACGATCCGAAAAGGATCTGCCGCCGACGATGATTCCTGTGCGACTGGTTGGGGTGCAGTATCAGCAGTCTTTAGTTTGAGCCGAATCACCTTTTTCGGTTCTGTACTACCGGTACTCTGTGAGGTGACGGCTTCCACTTTGGGAACTGTCGACGGCTGTGATTGTGGTTTCTCCGGTTTTGACGACATACCATCGTTGGCTTTTAGTTTGAGTTTCAACTTTGGACGGTCCAAGACTGGTTCCGACATGGTTCTTGTAGTAGCCTTGTCTTCGTTGGGACAAATGCCATGCTGTTTCACTCGAGTGTATTCTTGCTTGAAATCAAATAGAAAATGATCGACATCCATACAGTTGTGTTGTCGAGCCACTTCGAGGGCAGCTGTAGCCACATTTGGAGCTTTGTCAGGTGCTGTCTCAGGTACTTCGTCCCGATATTCATCCCACCACGACCGGAGGGTCTCGTACAAACAAGAGCAACCATCTACTTCCCTGGTACAAATGTCTCCCTTTCGCATCTTGTTCAAATACATTCCAGCTGCATAGAATTGCAACTGCTTGTAAAGGGGGCAACGAAATCGTTCCATTACTTTGGTTCGTTCTTCAATGTCATAAACTTCCAATTGCTTTTCGATATCCAAGCCGTGCAAAAAGTTGCCACCCAACACAATGGAATCGGAAGGTGTATAGACCCCATGAATCCAAGCCGAAGGAATAATCATGGTCTGTGAAGGCTGCAAGGTGATCCGAAGGATAGTGCTTTGATCTTGAATCAAATTGGGAAGAAACGTTGTGGCTTGATTGGCACTACAATTCCATTCTTCAAAAACTTGTAGATTGGCCTTGGTGGGAGCAATCAAACAAAAATCTTTTTGGCCCGAGAGTACATGGTACCAAACGGATGTTCCACCAAAGTCAACATGAAAGTCCGTGTAGCACCCCGCAGCCGATGTCAAACAGTAGTATTGCACCTTTGGATAGACGCGAGATTTTTTGGATTGTCCTTTTCCTCGGCCAGGCCAGGCTTGATCAATCCAATCTAGATCCCGGACGAATTGGGGTGACGTAATCTTTTGTCGCAATGGTGTATCGCTAAACTCGAGTGATATCTGGTTTAGAACACGAGGTCGTTGCTGTGCTTTCTTTTCCAAGGCCTTGACTACGGCTTGCCGTTGCTTTCGTTTCGGACCACCGAGGCCGGCCGTTAGCGGTGATGGTCCCGATTCTTTTCGCCGGTAGGGATCTTCAATGTAATCTACAAAAGCCCCCAGCGTCCATCCTTCCAATTCTTCTTGATGTTCCACATCAATCACAGCAAAGGGAAAAGCTCCTCCTAAAATGTTAGCAAGGTCCCTCAATTGTACTTCTCGGCCTCGAAATTTGATGACTTTCATGCCAATCGATTGGGGAGTATCGGTTATCAGAATGGGTCGCGTCAAGGTAATGCCTCCGTCATCTTGTTGCTTCTTCAAGTGTTCCGCTGTGAGTTGTCTGCCATCGGTAACGACTTGGATGATTTGAGAAGCACCTTGTTGCTGGCAATCTAAGGCCAGAAAGTCGGGGATGTGACGATTGGCGTAGCCTTGGTGATTCGTGTTATTGGAAGGAGGAGGAGGAGGAGGGTTCTCATGATTGGACGGCGACATGAGTGTGCTGTGTGTGTGCTGTGTAGTGCTGTGCAAAAAGATCCACTTATTGAGGGGCTTAGAGTAGTTTCTTGGCCTGCTGAATCGAAAGATCAATAAACAATCCTTGCCAATTAGTTCTTGGTTCACTCAAGATATTGTTGGCGTGTTTCAGTTTCCTTCGGATTCTTCGACGAACGATGATGGCATGTATGGCATGGTTTGAAAATCCATGGGGATGACTAGTCCGACTGAATCTCAAATTCTTCAAAATTCAACAAGGTCCAGCAGCCGAGGGTAGAAATATTCGTAACGCTCGGGTGCAGTACCAGTACCAGGTACCGGTACTGGGTACCGGTACCTTTTGCAAGGGCATTCTTTCATCATTTTCTACCATGACTTAGTGGATCCTACAGGTACCAATACGCTCATCTCACGACCAGGCGGCGCAGCAGATTTGGTCGAATGCTAGGACTAGTTCGACTAGAAATTCAAATTAGGGCTACAGTAGTTTTTTGAAAAAGTTAGTCCGATTAGAGAAGACGAAGAACAAAAAAGAGAAGGTTGAACTTCCGACCAAAGATGATCGAAAAGACAGCATAATTTTTTGAACCAATCGCTCATAAACCATGGGGCATCCTCTTTCATCATCTTCAAGACAAGCTTCTCTGCGAGCGCTTCAACGTCTAAAACAGCAAGGAGCTTTGCATCCAAGTAGACCCATTCGGTTCTATTTTTCTACTTCTCTAGCTTCATCACCCTCCATTGGACCAATCACCGACCGATTGACCGAATTGGTGGCTCCAGCCTCATTATCAGCATCAGGACCGATTACCGAACGATTGACAGAGCTGGTGGCCAAAGGTGACAAGTATCCCGACCAGCATCAATTGGAGACTGCTGCCGAACTGGATCGCTTATACACTCAGCTATTGGCGAATGAACCGCCTCCCTTGTCTGTGGGATCCAAATCCTCTTCCACGACCGCATCCTTGCCACCACCATCATCCAATTCAATCTTTAGGAGTTTCTTTGGTAGTCGTACTCCCACAGATGTTGTGAAAAATCTGGTGCCCTCCTTTTCCAGCACCACCAAGGGCGCGTATATCTATGGAGACGTCGGTTGTGGAAAGACCTTCTTGATGAACATATTGTACGACATGGTAGACTCGGGAGCCTGGGCCCAAGACAAACAAAAAGTCCATTATCACAAATTCATGCTAGATGTCCATGAACACATGCACCAAGAACGAAAAATAAATCCTCAGGGCGATTTGATTGCTCCCGTTGTGGACAGAGTCCTCGAAAAGGGTCGTTTCTTGTGTTTGGATGAATTTCAAGTGACCGATGTCGCCGATGCCCTCATTCTGCAACGACTCTTTGGAGGACTTTGGGAAAATGGTTGCGTCTTGGTGGCCACCTCCAATCGGCCGCCTCAGAACTTGTATCTCCATGGATTGCAACGGGATCGATTTCTTCCCTTTATTGACTTGCTCGAAAACAAATGCGCCGTGGTCAACATGTTGGATTCGGAAACCGATTATCGCATGTTGACGCCCTTTGCCAAGGGGGATCATCCCGTGTACTTTTCCAAGGGACAAGCGAATGACTTTGAAGCCTTGTTTGACAAATTGGTGGATGGAAGTAAGGTTGCCCCGACCCATTTGGTGACCCAAGGCCGGAAAGTCCAGGTCCCCAAGGCCTCGTTATCGCACAGTGTGGCACACTTTTCCTTTCACGATCTCTGTGAAAAGGCATTGGGAGCAGCTGATTATATAGCGATTGGACAAAACTTTGAAACTGTCTTTTGTCACTCCATTCCCAAATTGACGATCGATCACGTCAATTGGTTGAGACGATTCATTACCTTCGTGGACAGCATGTACGAACTCAAGGTAACTTTGGTGTTGCAAACCGATGCAGAATCCATTGATCATATCTTTACGGTGGAAAACAAAAAGGATTATTCCCAAGATGAAGTCTTTGCCTTTGATCGATCGCGTTCTCGATTGGAAGAAATGGCGAGTAAGGGCTATTTGTCACTAAAGTGGTTGGGAGAAGCATCAAAGTGATTTGTTAGGATGTGCTATCTTATGGAGAGATGGTGCTGTGCCTTTGGTTATGGCATGGCGATGCACCTCCTCGCTCCTACTAGATTTGCGGAAAAAAATGAAGCCAATCCAGGTGATTGTGAAAAGCAGCCGCTACTGTAGCGAGTTGTCGGAAAGGCTGGAGTTTGTCAGCTTCTCCATTCTGCAAGGGCGCATCAATGGAACGAGTGTCATTTTGCTTTTGTAAAAAAGGCAGCATAATTTGCATCCAACTGGAATGAGGGGAACTTCCTTGTAGCCTGTCCTAATGTTGTCAATGTAAAAGCTGTCACAAGAACATAGGATAACGCACACGTACCTATACGCGTACCAATAAAAAAGAATGACTTTCGCTCAAAACTCCTCCCATAGATCTGTGCTCAAGTACTTGAGACCCGAATCACAAATCAAAATGGCAATCGTCTCATCTGGGTCTGCTATTGGTTTGCTTCGCAGCAAGGCAATGGCAGCCGCCACATTGGCACCAGCTGAGAAACCACCAAATATACCTTCCAGTCGAGCTAAATCACAAGCACATTGAATTGCTTCTTCATCCGTCACTTGCAAATATCCGTCCACTTTGATGTCTGCATGGTCGTCATCGTTCGACTGAATACAGGGGAGATTCTTCATGAGGTATCCTCCACCTTGAATGCGGTGATTTGGTCGTGCCACAGTTCCTCCAGCCAGGACGGCAGCTCCCTTTGGCTCCACTATATAACATTTGACACCCTTATCCTGAAAGTACCTGGCACAGCCACCAAAGGATCCTCCAGTCCCTACGAAATCGCAAAATGATGTAACACTGTTTCCACTGTCATTCCAAATTTCTGGAGCTGTGGCTTGGAAATGGGCCATGGCATTGGCTTGATTTCGGAATTGATCGGCCCGAAAGGCACCCAACTCTTGTACCAACTCGTTGGTGCGTTGTTCTACCATTTCCAAATCCACCCCAGTAACTTGTCCTATCTTGCTCCCAGGAGCTTGTTCCACCAATTCGACCGTGGCGCCCAATGCGTTCATCATGCGAGCACGTTCCATACTGTTTCCCTTGCTCATGACTGCCGTGAATGGATGACCTAAAACACCACACACAATGGCCAATCCAGTCCCAGTATTGCCACTGGTCAATTCCACGACTGGTTGGCCTGGTTGGAGTTGTCCGGAAGTTTTGGCATCCTCAATCATATGTTTTGCAATCCGATCCTTTTTGGAAAAGCCGGGATTCAAGTATTCCAGTTTGGCCAGAATTCTTCCTTGAAGGTCATAGTGCTTGGTCAATCGAGACAAGTTGACGAGGGGGGTGGAGCCAATGGCGGCGGTCACATCGGGCAAGACTTGTGCTTGTGGTTTTGGTTTTGGTTGGGCCATGTTCATTGATTGCATTGTTGTCGTTGAAAATGTTTTGGCTCGAAGTTGACATGTTGTCCGACTAGTTCGAGCAAAGAAGGACGAAGGACAGACTATTCGCACCTTTCGTGTCTGGCACGCTCGTGTGGCCTTTTCTACTTAGGCTAAATGCTACTTATTTCGCATCGGTTAACCGTTGATCTGTTTCAAACTGACCACATATTGATAGTTTTCGCGAAATCCAACGTCCTTTTCAACCTGTTCAAATAATCACAAGGCCGACACTGACAAACAGACACCATTATCATACCTATCGAGAGACGTGCTCGATAAGGAAGTACTGTAGTTAGTCAGTTAGTTCATTAAAGTTATAGCAGCAATGCCTCGCACGTCCACCAGAAGACGAAAAGAAGCAGCCGAGTACAGTAAATCCGTTCGAAACAACACCACGAAGAAAGTTTCCGCACCGGTGGTGCAGCAAAAAATGGACCTTTCTGTGGTCGACAAAGCTTATGGTGATTATGCTGATTTGTACGGCGACGTCTTGCGTGTAAGCGCCACTGCTACCCACGAACACATTCAGTTGGCCTACTTTGATCGACGATCCGAACTCTTTACGCTGCTGGCCAAAATTGACGCCAAGTCGCAAGATGCTAGGACCGCAAAGGAGCGACGTCAAGCCGAACGCAAAATGGATTCCGTCGTCTTGGCAGTCCGCATTCTAGGAGATTCCGCTAGTCGAGAACAATACGATCAAGTACGGCAGACCCGTTTGCTCAATCGTAGACGATCCAAGCAAAATCACTTTGATGGAGACTACAGCAAGGTTAGCCGAAGGGCCACCTTTCAAGAAAAGCCAGTGACAACTGAGATGAGATATGAAGAAGAGAATTTGGAGGCACCACAACGTCGAAGTACCAGCAGATCGAAGCCATCTTCGAGTGCTAGATCTTCTGGTCGGAGTCGAACGCCCAAGAAGAGTAGTTCGAGACGGGCAGTACCGGCCGATGACTTGGATGAAACTCTCAACACGTACGAGATGACGGATGAGGAAGCCGATGCTGATTTGGATCGTTCGTACCTTTCGTATGAAACGGACGAATTCCGTCAGGACGATACCACCGTGGGAAGTGGCACCATTGGTACCATGACCATTGGTGAGACCACTGTTGGCAGTGGCACCATTGAAACAAATACTTTGGGGGAGGCAACTTTGGATACTTACACTGTCATCACCATGGACGAGGACAAGGTTGATCCAAAGCTTTTCTGTGGAAACGTTGACTTGGCCCGAAAGTTCCAAAAGGAAGTCAACGGGGCATTCCAAGATACAGTTGCTTCCTTTGACCAAGTCTTTAATGCATTCACACTAACGGATAAGGATATTCGTGCAGTCACCAAGCGCATTGATAAGGCCAAGCGCCAGTTGGATGACTAAACATAGCACAAGCAGGATATATATTTCCTTTCCTGTCAAAAAGTCCATGTGGGGTATACAAATAGAGTCTTATACACATATTGCATATTGTAATTGATTCGTTGTTTGTTGTTGGCATTATCATAGGTACTGTAGTAGAAGGAAGTCACCCTAGAACGGGCCGTACTAGTACTGTTGCTCCTGACAAACTAGATTCGATTCGATTCACGTCATCTTATCGCACCCGTAGCTCGGTTGTTATACGAGTCTCCAAGAATAGGAATATTATAAGGACTAATTGACAGACTGACTCACGCACGCAGCATCTATTCATCTTGGCTGTACGCACTCTTGTGTCAAGTGCCACAAGCACAGAGTACCGGTACTGCTGGTGAGATTAGTCGCAACAATCATCATCGATGCACAAGCCCTTTTCTACTGGTGGTACTTGCGTATATACATACAACAATGAATGTGTCGACACTTAAATTAAATTACAATGTTCTGTTTGTTAGACATGGGTTGAGCTTTCAAAAGTTGGGAAAGTACTATAGTAAGTTGTCTTTCATGATTTCTTGCTGTTCTGTGATCTTCATATATATATATATATATATATATTGAATCCGCACAAATACTGTAGAAGATCCGTTATGTGGTGCCGTTATGGTGTTGCTTCCTATGGTGAGAAGCTGCCATCACGCCATCTTTCAAATCTTTGGATGAGAAACTTTTTATGCGAACGTTTTGGATGGTCGGCGCATAGTACCAGCTAGCGTCAACAACAGCATCGGGACCACGAGAGTATTGGAAAAACTGCCAAGCCTTTTACTTGAAGCTGCCATGACACAATTTTGACGATTGATGACTCGTTCCACTCCGCTATTCCACTCCCGCCTGTCAATCCAATACTGTAGCAGCAGAATGCCAATGGAAAGATCAACCTGGGGAATTCTTTCAGCATGGCATCGTTGAGAGAACCGGTACTAGGAGAAGGGGATTTTAGTCTGCTTCCGAGGAATTCTTGTGGTTTCTATTCTATCGAACACAGAGCCATGGTCAAGTTCGCTCTGAGTACCGCTACCAGGTACCGGTACCGGGACATCACTTTCCTTTTTGGATTTG